CACGGGGTGCGCCGGGCGGGCGGCGGGCCTGCGAGCGGCCGGGTCCAGCCGGAGGGGCGCTCCGGGTCCCGCCGGCCCGCGCCGCCCGCCGTGCGGAAGCCCGGACCTGGCCCGGCCTGGGTCCCGCACGCCGCGGCCCCCGCCGCCGCCGGGCGCAGTCACGGAGGCGCCGGCCCCATTGTCCGGGCGCGCTCCGCGGGCCCTCAGGGCGCCCCGGCTTCCGCCCCGCGCCCCGGGGACGCGCGCCCGGAGCCGCCGGCTGGAGGCGAGGGGATGCGCCCGGAGCGGGTCCGAGGTCCGCGCCGCCAGCCCGCGTTCAGATACCGGGCGCCGGGGCGGGAGGAGGGGGTGCGGGCCCGGGACCCCCCAGCCCGGCCCCCGCCTGCCTGGCCCGCGCATGCGCCCTGCCATCTCGGTGCAGGTGCAGCGGCCCCGGCGGATCCTCCCGCCGCCAGAGCCCGGCCCGCCGGCGCGGGGAGTCGGGGAGGGAGGAGATGGGGGATCGGTGGTCCCAGAACCCGTGGCACTTGGTGCACCCAGCCCTGCTGCCCGCACCCTCTCCCTGCCGCCCGCATCCCCGGAGGTGACCTCACAGCGGCGCGCAGCCGGGTTCCTGGCGCCGCGTGGGTGGCCGGTGGCGGTCGGGCCGAGGACCCTCGGCCCAGAGCCCGGCCAGGCGCCCGCGGCTCCCCCCCAGGCCAGGGCGGGGCTGTCCTTGCCTGCACCGCGCTGAGGGACGCGGGGAGGGGCGGCCGGCTCCAAGGAGCTGAACTAGTCCTGGGCCAGGGCTGCGGGGTGGGGTGGGGCACCCCGAGGTCACCCTACCCCATGCTCCCCAGGTGCCAAGGAGAATCTCAGGGCAGCTCAGGGCCCTGCTGCTGGCGTGTAGGCCGGTGGGACAGGCCCACAGTGAGACCAGCCCCCAGGACCTGAGGTTGGCCAGAAGTGTCCCCCCACCCCCAAGCAACAGCACCCAAGAGATCCCGGCAGGACACCCCGGGGCCGGGAGCAGCGCTAGGATGCCCACAGGGTCAGGGGGCATCAGAGGAAGGAGAGGGGGCCGCCCCACTTCAGGGGCTTGGGGAGCATTGTGCCCGGTGATGAGGCAGGGGGCCTGGGTTCCCTAGCTGTGACCTGTGACCCCCGCGTCCTGCAGTTCTGCACCTGCAGACGCCCCCTCCTGGGGGCTGACCTCACCTGCAGCCCCTGGCCCAGCCCCTGTCACTCTGAGAGCCAGGGTGAGACGGAGGGGACAGCTGGCCAGCTCCCTGGAAGGGCTTGGCAGCCTCAGGCTGGATTTTCACGCACTTGGCGTGGGGTTGGCATGAAGGGGAGGGCTGTGCAGACAGCAGGGGCGAAGCCAGGCCACACCACCACCTCAGAGACATGGGGTTCCCCATCCGTCCCAGGGAGGCTGTGCCCCCAGCCCACATCAGGAGCCCGCTGTACAGATGAAAACTTGAGGCTGGCAGGTCAGAGCCCGTCTGTTCTCTCCCGGAACTCACGTCCGTTCTTCCGTGTCTGCTGCCTCGTCCTCCCGCGAGAGGCCTCAGGCAGACAGGATTCCGCCTGGAGCCCCTGGTCTGCCCCAGGTTCTCAGGGCGGGGTGTGTGCGCAGCAGCGACACCCGCCCAGAGGCCGGTCTGGGTCTTCCCAGCCAGGGGCCTGGCTCCTGCCCAGCCAGGCAGCTCGGGCTCCGGAGGAAGCTCTCCCCGCCGCTTGCTCTGCCCAGCGCCTTGGAGGCCAAGGCCAGCCAGGAGCAGAGCCAGGAGTGGGGCCTCGCCCCCGGGTGACCTCTCCCCTTGCAGATCCTGGACCCGCTGACCTTTCCGCCCTGAGACCCCCTCTGGGCCTCAAGTTGTAGTTCAGCTCCAGGCCCCGCAGCCAGCTGCCTCAGGACCAGCTGCATGAATAACGCCCCCGCCCATGCTGCCAGCCAATCAGAGACCAAGCCTGGAAGGCCACGGAACCTTCTCTTCAGACCCCTACCCGAGGCCCTAGTGGGTTTGGCCCCATGGATAGGCCTGCGGACTGGAGGGTCCCGGGTTTGATTCTGGTCACATGCCCGGATTTTGGGCTTGATCCCCAGTGGGGGGCATGCAGGAGGCAGACGGATCAATGATTCTCATCATTGATGTTTCTATTTCTCCCTTTCTGAGATCAATAAAAGTGTATTTTTAGCCGAAACCGGTTTGGCTCCGTGGATAGAGCATCGGCCTGCGGACTGAAGTGTCCCAGGTTTGATTTTGATCAAGGGCGTGTACCTGGGTTGCGGGCACATCCCCGGTGGGGGGTGTGCAGGAGGCAGCTGATGGATGATTCTCTCTCATCGATGTTTCTAACGCTCTATCCCTCTCCCTTCCTCTGTAAAACATCAATGAAGTATATATATATATATATATATATATATATATATATATATATATATATTTTAAAGTATTTTAAAGATAAAAATCAATGGCAAAAAGATACCCTCAAGTGAGGATTAACAAAACAAAATTTTTTTAAAAAAGGCCTTCCCCTAAATCTCTACCCCTAAACCCTTCAGACCGGGGACCCAGGGCTCTCCGCTCCCCTCCCCCTCCCTGCCCCGGGCGCTACCAACCTCTTCCTCACTCCCAAGCTCCAGGAGCCCTTCCTTTGCCCCCATAACTGGTTCCCATTTCTTCTAGAAATTGCTTTTTCTCCCTCGGCGATTTACCAGATAAATGTTCTCTTACAGTTTAGCTCTTGTTCTGGATTCTTTCCCACCAGAACCCCGTGCTAAGGTTGCTGACCCCAGGTCTGGTCTGACCCCGGGGGTCAGAGGCCTGGTGCCATCCCCATCGCCTCCGCCAACTGGACCGAGTGCCCACAGTGGAGTGCCCACAGCCGAGTGCCCACTGGAGCAGAGAGAAGCCCTCTGCCACCCTCAGGGGCCGACAGCGAAGGGGGAGGTGGATGAGGGTCTGAAGCCACCTGAACACGTGCCGGGAAGACAGTGAGGACCCCGGACACCGTGGTTCGCACACAGAGGCGGCAGGAGGGCGGGCAGTGTGCTGGGGTGCCCAGCTGGCAGGAGACCACAGCTCAGGGCAGACCCGGTGCGGGCCTTGGCCACAGCCGGGCCCAGCTCCGTGCTGACTGCATTTCTGCTCCTACAACCCTCCCCCCACCCGCCTCCCCCCCCACACTTCCCTGAGGGCTGGAGGGGCAGGCCTGGCCCGCCTCCTGGCTGCCTGCTCCTCCGGGGTCCCTTCTCTGTCCACTCAGGGCTCCCGGCCAGCGCTGTCCACTCCTCTCTCCAGCCCTTCCTTCCCAGTTCAGCCAGCAGACCCATCCCCAACTTCCCTCCTTCTCCCAACCCCCCCCCCCCTCAAACCCACCACGTGGCCAATCCCAACGGCTCCTTCTTAAAAATGTATTTTTTATTGATTTTAGAGGAGGAGATAGAAACATCTACGATGAGAATCATGGACCGGCTGCCGCCAGCATCCCACACTGGGCATGTGCCCTGACCAGGAATTGAACTGTGATCTCCTGGTTCCTGGGTCGATGCTCAACCCATGAGCCCTGCTGACTCCTCGAGTGAGCACAACGGCTCCCCCTGCTGCACCAGCCCGGGGGCTCTCCACGGCATCCCCCCCCCCCCCCCCCCGTGCGGTTCCACCCGCCACCCTCTCCCTGCACCCGTTCCGGTGCCATGTGGCGCCCCTGCTTGCTCCGACCCCCATGGCTCCCGAGGGGCCCTCCCCACTCCCGACCCCCCCTGCCCTGCAGCCATGGGGTCACTGCTCTTCCCCGTGTGCCCAACTCCTGCCCCTGCCGCCTCCCAAGGGACACCCCGCCAGGCTCTGGATGCACCCCCGTGACACCACCCGCTGCCCCATCCCCTATCAAGAGCAGCCACACACAGGGTGCCCAGCTAAGTCCCATCAGTGAGGGACACCCTCCCCTCCAGCCCCAAGGGTGACCAGTGGATTCCTGGGTGCTGGGTGCCTCTGCCCCATCAGCCACCATCCCTGCCCACAGGCCATGCCCTCGCCCGAAACGGCACGAGGAGGCCAATGGGTCCGGGTCCGACGTGAGCACCTGCCTCACTGCTCTCTGCGGCCCAGGACGTGGCTCCCAGGCCCCACACCACACCACCCGTGCAGGCGGAGGGCCACGCAGGGCCTGCCAGGCTGTGCCACGTGGGACTCCGGTTTCCTCGCTCCAGTGCCAACACCCTGGCACTTCCAGAGCCCTGGCAACAGGACGGGCTCCTGGTGGGAGCCACGGGGCGAGGGGGCCACGGGGAGTGGGGAGGCAGCCAGGCGGGGACAAGCGGGGACTTGTGGGTAAGACGGTGTCCCTCCCCAGGCAGCCGGCCAGGACGCCAGACCAGCGACAGCAGCACGCAGGCCGGGCCCTGCTGAGGCGCCACAGCAGGGACCCGAACCCCAGCTCGGCGGGTGCCACCGGGGCCCCATCAGCGCCCCTCCGAGCGCCTGGGCGTCGTCAAGCATCGCTTCCCCGTGAGGCTTTAGCGTGAAGAGGGAGGGTGGCTGCTGTCCCTGGAGGCCCCCTGCCTGGCACCGAGCACACATGTGGGCCGGCTGTAGGGCGTGGTGCCCGCCTCCGGGCGTGCCCGGGGGCTGAGCTGGGGCTGTTGAAGGGACCAGCAGGCGGGGAGGCTGTGGCAGGTCCCGGGCTCCGTGGCCACACAGGCTCTGCGGGGCCGGCCCCTGGCTGGGCCTCCAGGAACCACGGCCCAGAGGGCTCCGAGCCCAGCACAGGCGGGCGGCGGGAAGTGGTGCCGGAGGCGGACTCGCCGAGTGGCCGGGCCTGCGTGCCCCTGCTCAGTGTGGGCCCCGTCATGGGACATGCCCGCCCGGAGGGCCTCACCCTCCTGGCAGTGGGGGAATCAAGGCCCAGAGACGCCCAGCAGGGCCTGGGGACAGCGTGGGTGGGGGCAGGCGGCCAGAGCAGGAGACAGGACACGGGCACCAGGCTGGCGTTTATTGGGGGGCAGCGGGTCCTCAGCGCCCCGAGGGCCAGCAGGCACACAGGGCCCGGCGCTCTGCCTGCAGCAGGAGGGTCTCCGTCTGGAAGCAACAGGGCGGGTGGTCAGGGTGTGAGTCAATCCCCCGCCCCAGTTCCTCTCCGAGGCCCCTGGCTCTCTGCACCCCGCTCACTGCAGGGACCCCTGCTGCGGTCCCCCCTCCGCACACCCAGCCCCCTCGGAGGAGAGAGAGAGGGAGTCAATGGTGAGAGCATCCCCAATGGGCTGCCTGCTGTGGCCGCACTGGGGGTGCAGCCTGACCTCCGTGACCTCCTGGCTCATGGGGGACCCTCCACACAGCCCCTCGGGCTGGGACAGATCTCTTCCTGCCTCTGCACCGCCGCCAGCCCTCCCCCTCAGGGGGCCTCAGGCGGGGCTGCAGGGCTGTCTGGGCCCCCCTCCCTCCTTCTGGAGTTGTGTCCCTGAGGGGGCTCCCTGCTCCTTCCACACTCGGGCTGCCCTGTCTCTGTGCCCAGCACGGCGCCCCCCGGGGCCCCCCAGTCTCCTCCGGCCCCGGGAAGGCTGGGCGGGGGGGGGGGGGGGGGGGGGGATGGGACCCTGTGCCCGGTGAGGGGCGCTGAGGGCGGGGAGGGGGGCGGGGAGGGGGGTCGGGGAAGTGGGTGGGGAGGGGGGCGGGGGGCGGGGAGGGAGGCGGGGAATGGGGGCGGGGAGGGGGGGAGGGGGGAGGGGGCGAGGAGGGGGCGGAGGGCGGGGAATGGGGGGGGCAGGCGGGGAGCCCTCACCCGGGCGTCCAGGCTGAAGGCCGTCTTGCGCAGGTCCTGCAGGGCGCGTTGCATGAACTCGAACGCGTGGCAGTCCACGCACGGGCGGCCTGCGGGAGGGGCTGCTCGGTCCCCGCCCCCAGCCGTCCCACCGCACCCCCACCCCCTCCCCACCGACCGGGCGCGGGGCGCGGGGACAAAGCGAGGTGCGGCCTCCGCCCGCAGCACCGGGACCAGGACCGGGACAGGGCCGGCGGGGCCGGGCCGGAGCGGGACGGGGCCGGGAAGGGGCCGGGGCCGGGGCTGGCGGGACGGGGCCGGGAAGGGGACGGGGCCGGCGGGACAGGACCGGCGGGGCGGGCCGGGGCCGGGGCTGGCGGGACGGGGCCGGGAAGGGGACGGGGCCGGCGGGACAGGACCGGCGGGGCGGGCCGGGGCCAGGGCCGGGGCCGGGGCCGGGCACCTACTCTGCGCGGGGACGGCGCTGCCGGCGGGCTCGGCGCGGGCCCGGGCGCCCAGCAGCGCGGCGCTCAGCAGCAGCAGCAGCAGCAGCAGCGGCCCCGGGGGGCGCGGCGACGGGGGCGCCATGGCGGGCGGAGGGGCGGCTGCAAGGCAGGAGGGTCCGAGCGCCGCCCGCCCGCCCCGCGGCCCCGGCCCCCCGGGCCCGGCCTGGGACAGACCCCGATTGCCCCCCGCCCCGCGCCCCCGTCCCCGCCCCCCACCCCGACCTCAGCCTGCGAACAGACCCCGCCCCCAGACCCCCGCCCCGCGCCCCGGCCCCCCGACCTCCCGCCCCCCCCCCGGGCCCGGCCTGGGGCAGACCCCGCCCCCCCGCCCCGCGCCCCGGCCCCCCGACCCCCCGCCCCCGAACCCCCGACCCCGACCCCCCGACCCCCCGCCCCCGGCCCCCGCCCCCCCGAGCCCGGCCTGGGGCAGACCCCGCCCCCCCGCCCCGCGCCCCCGGCCCCCCGCCCCCTCGCCCCCGGCCTGGGACAGACCCCGCCCCCCGCCCCCCGCCCGGGCCCCCTACCGCGGTCGGGGACCCGGAACGCAGCGCGGCGGCGGGCGAGACGCGGTCCGTTCGGCGCGCACCGCGCATGCGCCCCCGCCGCGCCCGGGTCCCCCCCGCGCCCCTCCCCCACCGGCCGACGTCGTCGCCATGGAAACCGGAGGCCACGCCGACTTAAGGGCCGGAGCGGCTCCGGGAGGCCGGCGCCCGTCCGGTCCCGGCGAGGGAGGCGGCGCCGGGGGCAGCCGGAGCCTGGCCGCTGCGGGGCGACCCGGGGCCCTGAGCTCCCGCTGCGGAGGGCGCACCGGGCGGCTGTCCGGGAGCCGCCCCCCCCTGCGCCCCAGCGGGTGGCCTCGGGGGGCCCCGGTCTCTGCCCTTTGCGCCCCTCGGCCGCGGAGTCCTCGCCGCGGAGGGAGAGCGCTGCCGGTGCCGGCCCGGGGGACCGTCCGGCCGGGCCTCCCGGCACCGCTTGGCAGGCACAGGGCGCCCCGGCGGGCGGCGCCCGCTCCGGGTCAGCGTCCCCCGGGCTCCGGGCGGGACCTCCGCTCCGCCGGGCCCAGGGGCGGCCGCGGGGCTGCAGCCGGGCCCGGGCGCCCAGGAGCGGGTCCCCGCGGGCGGGGAGGGCGTCCGGGCCTGATGCCCGGAGCCCCTCCGGGGGCGGGGGGAGCGCCAGTGGCTCCCCAGCTGGGGGTCCCCCTGTCGCCCTCGCCCTCCCACAGCGTCCCGCCCCCCCAGAGCGAGGGCAGCAGCTACCCCTTCCCCCCTCTGCCCCCAACCTGCCCCCAACCCCATCCTCTCCCAGCTCAGCTCATCCTCTCCTCCGAGGCCCAGCCTCACCTCCAGCCCAGCGCGCACCCTCACCCCCCGCCCCACCCACAGACCCCCCTCCATACACACAGACCCCCACACACAGACCCCCTCCATACACACAGACTCCCCTCTATACACACAGACCCCCCACACACATACAGACCCCCCCACATACACACACACACACACACACACACTCAGTGCCCCCGCTGAGGGGACCATGCAGCCAGGGGGGCTGCCGGATCCTGAGTATGGGGGAGCTCCCCAGCCCTCATCCCTCCAAACAACACAGACCTGGTGAGCCCCTCACCCCACCCAGGCCTCTGCCCCGTCCCTTTCCTCCCTCTTTCTCCAGCCTCCCCTCCCCCGGGGCCAGCCCTGCCCTCGGCCATCAGCGGCCTCAGGCTTACAGCAGGCGCTGCCCCCACCCTGTGTCTCCCCAGACCCTGTCCTCAGCCTCTCCACCCACCCACCCTGTGGGCGATGCAGGTGAGCAGGCAGCGCCAGTTCAAAGCGGGTGTGAGGGGCCCATCGCCCTGACCTCCTGCAAACTGACCAGTGGAGGCGGGGCCGGCCCAATCCATCCCCGCAGGCGGAATGGCGGAGCAGGCGAGGGGCGGTGCCAGGCCAAGGCAGGGTGCCAGGCTGGGCTGCAGGGCTGCGAGGCTGGGGACAGGCCACGGAGGGCACAACCTGTGCACGAATGCGAGCACCAGACCTCTAGTTATTACTAATAACGAGCCACACCGTCCCCGAACGACTGATCACTATAATCGTGCTGCATTCACTTCCCTTAGGCCTACACGCAGGCGCACCATCTCTCTCCACTGACACCAGCAGCCAGAATTTTAGCAGCCGGTGGCCGCATTGTTAGTCTTGGACTGACTTGTTTGGTGTGTGCAACAGGAAATATTTCACTTTCAGAGAGCAAGGAAAATAGATTTAATTTTGTGATGCTCTTTTAAAAATATTTTTTATTTTTTACAGAGAGGAAGGGAGAGGGACAGAGAGTTAGGAACATCCATCAGCTGCCTCCTGCACACTCCCCACAGGGGATGTGCCCAGAAACCAAGGTACGTGCCCTTGACTGGAATTGAACCCGGGACCCTTCAGTCCGAAGGCCAACACTCTACCCACTGAGCCACACCGGTGAAGGCTTGTGATGCCTAATTTGTGCAGTTATTCAGTGTCTGGTAGTTAATGTTCAAGAAAAATCTTAGTTTTTATTAAAATGTCCTATTGTTTTGTGTGAACGATGACTCATTTAGTTCAGCCCTTTGAATTCAGCCCGTCTCTATCGAAATAAACCTGCGTTTCTATGAAAATTGAGGCTTTTGGGTTTTTTTTGCGGCCACATCCACTTACACTGGTCTACTGGGCCCGAGTTGGCCTTTGAGTGTGACATGCTTGGAGCCTATGGCAGGACTTCCTTCCTTCTTCCCCCCTTAAATGTACTTTTATTGATTTCAGAGAGGACAGGAGAGAGAGACAGAAACGTCGATGATGGGAGAGGATCACTGACCGGCTGCCTCCTGCACGCCTGCCCTGGGATCCAGCCTGCAAGCAGGCCTGTGCCCTGATGGGAGCTGAACTGTGACCTGGTTCAGGGGTCTGCATCAGCCCCGAGCCCTGCCCGGGCGGATTCCCTGCTTTTTAAGGCGGAATACCACTCCACTGCGGGGACGGACCACGCCCGCCTGTGGACGGGGTGTCTGTGATTAGCGCACGGGGGTCAGGGCTTCAGTATGTGACCTCATACCAGCACCCCGTGCCCCCGGCCCCAGAGGCAGGCCCGTACCTCTGCTCCCTGTGTCTGCAGCCGCGGGAACCTGCGCGGTCAGTCAGAGCCCAGGACGCGTGCGTGCAGGGGCCCAGGGGCGGGGGACCAGCCTGCGGGGCTGCCAGGCCTGGAGCAGCTACTGCCCGGGGGCTGGGTAGGAGCCGCTGGCGGAGGCGGCCTCCAGGGAGGGGGAGGGTGGGGGCAGGCCGGTGGTGGAGTTGTGAGTTGGGTCAGAAACGGTGCGTTGGCTGTGCAGGCCCTGCAGGTCCAGCTCAGAACCGGGCCTGGAGGTTGGAGGGGAGCTGGGCGGCCAGTGTGGCCGGGTCAGTGACACAGGAAGCTCAGGACATGAACCCGGCTCCGCCCCCCACCCCCAGCCCAACACCCAGAGCCCTCCACCCCTTCCCACGCCCTCCGAGGGGGGCGGCCGCTCAGGGACCAGGTAGGTGGGGCTCTGCGGGACCTCTTCCCCGAGCGGGTGGCCCAGGCCCACGGTGTCGGGGCCCCAAGCCCGCTGCTCCCATGCACTCGCCTCCTGAAGGGGCGCTGAGGGGTGGGTGGAGCCCACACGATGCTGATGGACATGGGATGTGGGGTGGGGAGCAGGCCAAGATGGCGTGGGGGTTGGGGGAGACGGGGCCTGGGTCCCAGGCAGAGTTTGGGCTGGCCGGGAGAGAAGTGGGTGCCGGGCTCCGTGGCCCGGAAGGTGCACAGCCCGAGGGCCGCCTGCTGGGGGCAGGGAGGCGCCGGGGGCCAGCAGCTGGGATGGAGCCCCCCGTTCCCGCGGGGTGGGGTTCCCCCCGCCCCCCCCCCGTACTTGCTGCTCTTTGCGTTGGTGGTAACTTGTTTAACCCTCACCTAGGACTTTCCCATTGACTTTGGAGAGAGTGGGAGAGGGCGAGACGTGATCTGAGAGAAACACATCGATTGGCTGCCTCCTGCATGTGCCCCAAGACCAGGGCCCGGGCCAGGGAGGAGCCCACCACCGAGGTCTGTGCCACTGACTGGAATCGAACCCGGGCCCTTCAGTCCGCCGGCCAACACTGTGCTGGTGGCACCTTCTATGGGACACGGTGCCCGGGGATCCTGCGGAGTGCAGGGCGCTGCGCGGGGTCTGTGAGTGTGCTCAGTCTTCAGGCAACAGACCCCCGCCCAGGCAGGAGCCCTGAGGCCTCCCCTGGGTGCCCGGGCCCTGCCCGGCGCGACTGAGGCACATCCCGCGGGGACCTGCCGCTCTCCCCTGGCCCAGCCACCGCACCTCGGGGTCCACTCCGCGGCGGCCTCGGCGGCTCCAGCGGCGACAGCAGCGGCCCGTGCCGTCCAGGTCACCTCCATGGCGGGCACTCAGCCGCCCCGCAGGCCTGGGGCTGCCCCGCCTGCTCCTCCCAATGGCCGCCCTTGTGGAGTGTGGCCCGCGGCCACAGTGAGTCCACTGCCCGCCCTCGGACAGTGGGCTTCCCGGGGACAGTGACGACAGACACAGCTCTCGGGTGTGGTCCCGCCTCCCCTGCTGCTGGGCTGCATTCCCCCCAGGTCCCCTCCTGGCCATCACCGCCGTCTGTCTGTGAACGACAGCCCGGATCATTGTCCTAAATATGTCTTTATTGACTTCAGAGCGGAAGGGAGAGGCCATGAGAATCATGGATCGGCTGCCTCCTGCAGGCCCCGCACCGGGAGTGCCCTGGGCTGGAATCGAACCCGGGCCCTTCAGCCCACAGGGGGACGCGCAGTCCCTGAGCCCGCCGGGCAGGTCTAATGCCTTAAAGCAACACACCGGGCACAGCCGAGGCTCCGAGCGCCACAGGAACTCCCCGGAGCAACGGGCCGGTCCGCCGCCGGCGGCGGGGCTCCAGCCGGAGGCCCACGCGTGGGTGCTGTGTGCACGGCCCCGCGGGAAAGCCGCCTCCGACAGGCGGGCGTCCCTCCGATCCAGCCCCCCGCGTCTCCGGGCACGGAGCGCGGGAAGAGCCGCCTTCCCCGGAGCCCCCGCACCCGCCGCGGTTCGCCGGCGCAGCGGCTCGCACACGCGGGAAGGTGCTCCGCGGGCTCGCCTTCCCCGGGCGCGGCCTGCGCGGGCACACAGGGGCTCGGCGCACGGCAGGGCGGACGCGAGCGGGGCCCATCCCGCTCCCACGGGCAACGGCGCCCGGCCTCCCGGGCCTCGGAGCCCCCCGCGGCGGAGCAGCGTCCCTCGCCGCCGCCGCGCAGGCGCGCACTCCCGCGGCGCCACGCCCCTCCCCTGACGTCACGCCGTCCCCGGAGCGAACCGTGGGCGGCGCCATGTCACGTTACGGCGGACGGCGAGCCTGAGCCGGCGTCGCCACGCAGCGTCTCGCCGAGGCCCCGCCCCGACGACGACGTCACCGCGGACGCCAGGCGGGCGCCGCCATGTCGGGGGTCCTCGTCGCGGGCGCGCAGGTGTCTTCATAAGATGCCGGCCCGGCGGCGGCGCCCGGCGTTCCCCCCCCAAGATGGCGTCCATGCGGGAGAGCGACACGGGCCTGTGGCTGCACAACAAGCTGGGCGCCACGGACGAGCTGTGGGCGCCGCCCAGCATCGCGTCGCTGCTCACGGCCGCGGTCATCGACAACATCCGCCTCTGCTTCCACGGCCTCTCGTCGGCCGTGAAGCTCAAGCTGCTGCTCGGGACGCTGCACCTCCCGCGCCGCGCGGTGGACGAGGTGAGGCGGCGGCGCGCGGCGGCCTCCGGGACGCGGCCCGGCGCGGACACGCGGGGCCGGCGGCGCGGGAGGCGCGGCGCGGGCAGCTGTGCGCGGGGGCCGGGGGGGCGCGGCCGGACCCGGTGGGGCGCCCCTCGGAGGCCGGCCCGGCGGCTGCGCCCCACGAAGCGGCCGCCGCGCGGGGCCGCGCACGCCGTGGCCTCCCCGCCCGTGTCTGCGTCACGCGCGCCGGGGGTTGGGGTTGGTTTCCCCGCGACGCGCGCGCGTCAGGCTCCGGTCGCGCCAACGGAGCCGGCGCCCAACCGCCGCCCCGCCCCTCGCGGTGTCCGCGCCGCGCGTGGGCCCGGGGCCGCTCCCCGGAGGGCGCCGGGTGCGAGCCCGCGCGCCCGCGGCGTGTGGTGTTCGTGCTCCTGGGCCGCGGGCGGCGGCCGGGCCCTCGGTCGGTGTCCGCCCGTGTGGACGCAGAGAGGAGGGCGCAGGGGGCACCGGACCGGGGGCGGGGGCCGGCCGCGCCTCCCCGCGGAGCTGTCGCCCTGCTGGGCTGGTGTTTGTGGGCGTGGACGCGGCCACCACCAGGGACCCCGCCCTCCGTGCGCCTCCGGGTCCCGCGCTCCATCCGGACGCCCGGGATGTGCCCCCTCCGCCCCCGATGCCCCTGTGATGCCCCTGTGGCCACTCATTACCCGAAAGCGGCCGGTCCAGGCCTCAGAGGCAGGCGCCCTGCAGGAGAGACCGGGAGAAAGGCCGCTGAGGGGTCCCGGGAACCGTGGGAAGCCGCAGATACGGGGCCGAGGGCCGGTGCTCCAGTGTGGCCCCTGTGGGGCAGGGGGAGCCCCTGGGGGGCGGGAGGGGCCCGCCTGGGGCTGGGGCAGTGGGGCAGGCTGGAGGGAGGGGGGTGGGGGCTGGAGAAGACTCTGAGCCGGAGCTGAGCACAGGCCCAGGCTGCCCGGGCGGGCGGCTCGGCAAGGAGCGGAAGCCCCGGAGGCTCTGCGCACGCCCTGAGCTCCCCGTGGCCGGGCGGACTCGGAGCTGGGGCTCCGGCACCGTAGACACAGCCAGCACTCGCCTGTCTGTGGCCAAACCCTTTGCGTCGAGAACCGAGTTCCCCTTCTTCTCTGGGCCCTGACAGCGAAGCGGCCAATTGGGAGACGCGTCCCCAGCGGCAGAGCCAGGCCACCGGCGCCGTTCGGCCTAAGACGGGGTAGCCATCTCCACGGGACGGGACAGTGCCCGTCTTCATTCTCCCCTCGCCTGTGCCAGCCTCCTCGTTAGCCAGATTTCCTTTGAGGTGGGTCCACGGGGCCGGCTGCCTCCCGCCCCGCTGGTGTGCCCTGCGCCGGTGCGCTGGCGTGACAGGTCCACAGGTCTCTCCCCGCCACCTTCCTGGCGGCCCGAGCTGTGCCCTCCGGCCCGAGTGTACCCTCCAGGCAGCCGTGGCTAGGGCCAGGACTCCTACCCGAACACGGCCCCGAGGGCCCGGTCTTCCCGAGCAGCGGGGCGTGCGTCCTGTTGGGGTGTGTGGGGGGCAGCCGTGCTCGCTGGGTTCCTGGAGTTGCGGGAAGTGCGTCTGACTTGGTGACATCTGATGGGTCCAGCCCTGTGTATGGGGACGGTGCCTGGACTGTGGGGCCGGAGTCTGCAGGTGGCTAATGCCGGGGCCGTTTCTGGCTCCCTCGCTCCGTTAGGCCGGACTGAGCCCTGTGGTAGGAGCATAGTCCTGCACCTGCCACCTCTCCTGACGCAGTCCTCTCACGATTCCCAGCGTCCCGGCCACTCTCGGCCCGTCTCACGCCCTGTGTACGACCTTTTCAGCTCCACCCACAGGCGCTGGTTGGGACTTTGAGGAAGACAGGGTTGACTTTGGTTTGTTCGGGTTAAATCATCTCCATATCACATCTTACAGATTATGTTTTTCTCCTGGGAGGCCTCCATCTTCTGTTCGGGTATTTCTGGATATTTCACGCTCGTTCATGTTGCCATTTACTTCTTCTCGCCTCCCCGCAGTCACTGGGACCCTCCAGAACCCTGCCTCTTCCTGATGGGGGGGCACTTTCACTCCTGCCAATTGTGAAATGGCTTTTCGGAGAGACTTTTTATCTGGTTATGAAAATTCTTTCCTATCCCTAGAATTTAAAAATGTTTATTTTAATCAGGAATGAGTTTTTTAAAAAAAATATTTTATTGATTTTTTGCAGAGGAAGAGAGAGGGATAGAGAGTTAGAAACGTCAATGAGAGAGAATCATCGAACAGCTGCCTCTTGCACACCCCCTACTGGGGATGTGCCCACAACCAAGGTACATGTCCTTGACTGGAATCGAACCTGGGACCTTCCAGTCCGCAGGCTGATGCTCTATCCACTGAGCCACACGGGTTTCGGCTGGAATGAGTTTTAACAGCTCTGTTGAGATGTATAACTCACATACCACCAGTTCACCCCGTATAGGTACAGTTGAGTTGTGTTTCAGTATATCACCCTAATGAATTGTAGAACACCTCATCAGCCCCACAATAAATCCTGTGCCAACTACCAGCTCCCCCCACCCCAGCCCCGGGCAACCACTGATCTCGTCTGTGTCTCCGTGTTTTCCTGGTCTGGCTTTCGTGCACACGGGCTCCTGTGACTGTGCCCTCGGATGACTGGCTCCTGAGAGGTGGCACAGTGTTTCCCAGGCTCATCCGTGCGGATCCGTGCTGCTTCCTTTTTGTGGCTGAAGTGCCTTCCGCTCTGTTCACCGCCGCCACCCGCTGAGCCCGGCGTTTCCTCCTGTGGCTGCTGAGGAAACGCAGGACAGTGTGTGTGGACGTGGTTCCGTCGCACTGAGGACGCTGCTTTCCATCCTCGGGGCACCGGTGGGCTGCGTGCAGGGAGGCGTGGCCAGGAGGAGGGCAGCCACGGGTGGGCGGGGCCTCACAGGGTCTCTGGGAGCCGGGGCGTGGGCAGGGCGGCACTGGGGGAAGAACCCGCCTGTCAGGCGTTGAGGGGGTACGAGCGCAGCCCCAGGTCCCCCTGGGCTCTGGCGTGTGGGCCGGGCCGGGCCGCCCCCAGGAGCGTCTGTGCTGTTCGAGGTCTCCTGAGGCTCCTGCCCGCGTGGCGCCTTCTGTCCTGAGTCCAGCACCTGCTGACTCCTGGCCCACAGAGCCGGTGCGAGCGCCACACGCCTGCCTTCCCTGCCCTCCCAGGAGTGCCCCTGCCCTCGGCCTGAGGGGGCGCTGACAGGCCCTGGGGCTTGTGTCCGGGCCATCCGCCCGCCTGCTCGCCCACCCGGCCTGCTGCTCCCGTCCTCACCGCCTGGGCTCAGCTCTCTGCGCCCAGCGGGCCTCATCAGCAGCTCCCAGACGGTGTGGCCGGAGTGGCTCTTAGCAGCACGCACTCTGGCGGAGACAATGTAGGTGCCCGTCGGTGCCCGGGGCGCTCACAAGGAGCCTGGTGCTGCTGTGGGAGGCTGGGGCAGGGGCTGCCAGCAGGAGGGTAGCCACAGGCGGTGGGGCACTGGATCTGGGTGGGCACTGCAGCCTGGTGGAGGCTGGGGCACGAGGAAGGGGCTCTGGCAGGGGCGGGAGCTGCAGGGAGTTTTGTCGAAACAGGATGGTGGCCGCGCTGTGCCCTGCTCCGGCAGGGTGGCGGGTTCAGGAGGGGCCGCTGAGGACACCCTCTCTTCCCGCAGATGAAGGGTGCCCTGACGGAAATCATCCAGCTGGCCACCCTGGACTCGGACCCCTGGGTGCTCATGGTGGCCGACATCCTCAAGTCCTTCCCCGACACGGGCTCGCTTAACCTCGGTCTCGAAGAGCAGAACCCCAACGTTCAGGACATCCTGGGAGAGCTCCGAGAGAAGGGTACGTGCCGGCGCTCCGTGCGGGAGGAGGCTCCCGAGAGGAGCCGTCTTTTAAAACGCCCGGGCTCAGAGAGTCGGCGCTGGCACCCTGACGACGGAGCCGGGGCGCTGCGCTGTGGGCAGGCCTGACGCTGCAGCCCGCCTCCGCCACTCACTCGGGGGAAAGCCGGGGTGCCGGCTCTGAGCCAGGGGAAGGGGAGGCCGCCGAGGCCCGGTCTGGCAGGCGCTGCTCCAGGCCCGGTAGGAGGCTAGGCCGACCCCTGCCCCCTCCTAACTGGGCTGCTTCTGGCCGGACAGTGGGCGAGTGCGAGGCGTCGGCCATGCTGCCCCTTGAGTGCCGGTACCTGAACAAGAGCGCCCTGACCACGCTCGCCGGCCCGCTCACGCCCCCCGTGAAGCACTTCCAGCTGAAGAGGAAGCCCAAGAGCGCCACGCTGCGCGCCGAGCTCCTGCAGAAGTGTGAGTGCCCCGCCGGCCCGGGGGCGCGGCCGCGGGCTTTATAAGTTCCTTTCAGGTTTCCGCTTGAACGGCTTTTCGGTCAGAGCCCTGCGTGAACTTGGGGTTTTAGGACTCTTAACTGCTCCCTGCCCTGGGTTCCAAAACCTGGTTTGAAGCCGGAAAGCCTTCAGGCTGAAGGATCTCTACCCTTAGCTGTGAGTGAAGCTGGCGCCGAGGCCCACGGGCCTCGCCAGGCTCCTGCTCCTGTCCCTCCGCCTGGTTCTCGGGGGCAGGTGCCCTGGCGCGGCTGTCACCGGGTTTTCGCTGCGCCCAGCTGGCGGCTTAGGAAGTGTGTGTGTGGCCACCGTGGCCCCGAAGCAGGGAGCTCCATCCCTTCAGCCAAGCAGCTTTGTGCTGGGAGGGCGTTATTAATATCCGTTCCGTAGCCACTCAAACCCAACTCGACCGAAACACGGACTGAGGATGTTAATCACGGCGCACGCCCCGCCGCAGAGGATGGGAGTAAACCAGCAGCTGCCGTGGCCAGGGTCCTCGTGTGGCCCAGGCGTGGGCGCGTGTCCGGGGAGGGGAGGAGGCGCAGTTCACGCGGAGGGAAGGGCAGGGCCCTGTGCGCACGCCGACACGCACCCCTTCCCCTGCAGCCACCGAGGCCGCCCAGCAGCTGAAGAGGAGCGCGGGAGTGGCCTTCCACGCCAAGGGCCGGGGGCTGCTCCGGAAGATGGACACCACCAGTAAGGCCGCCGGCCCTCTGCCTCTCGCTCAGGCCCGAGGCCCCGGGCCAGCTGCCCAGGGCGGGGACGGCCCTGCCGGGGGAGCTGGCCCGTGTCCTTACCGATGCCGCGGGTGGGGGTGGGGCGGAGGCATGGAGTCCGTGCCGGAGCCGCTCAGGAGGGCAGGAGGCGGGCGAGGTGCTGCCTGCAGGGAAGGCCGAGTGCTGGATGCGGCTGCCCACGTGGCACTGTTTGGTGTTTTTGGCAAAAATGTCGTAGGTTGGCTGTGGTGTTGCTGGCCCTGGCCTTCTCTGCCCAGGGCGTCCTAGTGCAGAGCGCTTGTGCGCGGCGAGGGCAGCCGCCTCGGGCGTGGAGGGCCGCGGGCTCCCGGGGCAGGGCCTCGGGGAGCGGCCTCCTCCGGGCACCGCAGTGGCCCTGGTCCGGGGGCACGGCTCGCACAGGCCCAGACAGGCCCCGCTGGTCGTGGCTGCGCCGTTGACGCACGTCCCCCCGCAGCCCCGCTCAAAGGCATCCCGAAGCAGGCGCCCTTCCGGAGCCCCACGGCCCCCAGTGTCTTCAGCCCTGCCGGGAACCGGACCCCCCTGCCCCCCTCGAGGACGCCTCTGCGCAAGGAGAGGGGCGTGAAGGTGGGATGCCTTCAGTGTCGGCCCCTCATGGCCAGCCTAGCGCGCTCACACTGTAGCTAAGGGTCCCTTCTGTCTGTCTGTCTGTCTGTCTGGGCAGCTGCTGCACATTTCTGAGCTGGATACGGTCGGTGCCGGCCGAGAGGCAAAGAGAAGAAGGAAGACGCTGGGTGCGTACCTGGGGCTCCCGGCGTCAGCCAGGATGGTGCCCGAGCCCTCCTGGGCACAGCGGGCAAGGGCCGCGCCTCTGCCCGCCTCCTTCCGAGGAGCCCCCCGTCCAGGGCCTGGTCTCAGCGGCCGCCGCCTGGAGGGTGGCGGGGGAGCCCTGGTCCTGGGCACGTGTTCTTTGCCTGGAGATGTGCGTGAAGGGCCGGCTTGGGCGGCATTTCGGGGCCCCTTGCTGAGCCTGCTTGCGGAGGGCCCCCGGGCACTGACGAGGCTCTGCCCACAGACACGGAAGTGGTGGAGAAGCCGGCCAAGGAGGAGACTGTGATCGAGAACGCCACCCCCGACTACGCAGCCGGCCTGGTGTCCACACAGGTAGGGCTCCCGCCAGAGCCTCCCGCGGCCGGGTGCTCCCTCTCGTCCCGGTCCTTAGCCACTAAAGTGTGTTGTCGGAGGATACATGTGTGCACACGTACACACACGGTGTGTATGCGTGTGGCCATGCATGTAGAGGCAGCGCTGGCCAGGCCCCTCCCTGCGGGCACTGGTCCCAGGCCTCTTGTGGGAGAGACCACGCACTGTCTTCCAGAAACTCGGGGCTCTGAGCAGCGAGCCTTCGCTGCCCTCCACTAGCTACCTGCCTGCCACCCCCAGCGTGGTCCCGGCCTCATCCTACATCCCCAGCTCCGAGACGCCGCCAGGTAGGCCCCCACAGCACCCACCTGCCCGGGCCCTCCCGCCCTGCTGTGCTGGCTGGAATGTGCCCAGCCCTTCCTGGGGCAACAGGCAGCTGCCCCAGCTGCAACTCCAGGGGGACGTGGCCAAGATGGCAGCAGCGCAGGGCTGTGGTCCCCTCCCAGTCCCAGGACGTCCAAGAGGACAGGCTAGCGGCTCTGCCCTGCGGATTCGCTTGGTCAGGCTCTGTGTTGCCTGCCGGGAACAAGGTCCCAGGGACAGGGCGACCAGAGACGGCCTTGGGGTCTGCCGGCCAGCTGGGCTCCAGGAGGCTGCCTCCGGCCTCCTCTCCGATGACAGGGACGGGGAACCTGGCTCCAGGGCAGGGGTCTCTGCAGCCTGTGCCCACCCCTGGGCTGGCGGTGCTGCTCGTAGCTCCTGCCCCGCTGGGAGCCAGAGGCTCCTGTGGGTCGGAGCCTAGAGAACCCAGGTCTCAGGGCGGACAGCTGCACTAGCCAGGCCGTGTGGGCAGGACAGTCAGGACCCGGCAGGGCCGGCACAGAGCCTCCCGGTGCCTCAACGGGCCTCACTGTGCTTACAGCCCCACCTTCCCGGGAAGCCAGCCGGCCCCCCGAGGAGCCCAGCACCCCGAGCCCCGCCCTGCCGGCACAGTTCAAGCAGAGGGCACCCATGTACAACAGCGGCCTGAGCCCAGCCACGCCCACACCCACGCCTGCAGCGCCCACCTCACCCCTGACGCCCACCACACCCCCGGCTGTCACCCCCGCTGCCCAGGCACCTCCGGTGGCCATGGTGGCCCCACAGACTCAGCCCCCTGCCCAGCAGCAGCCCAAGAAGAATCTGTCCCTCACGGTAGGTGTGCCCGGCAGTGGAGGTGCCAGTGGTGCCTGGCAGGGCCTGCGGGTGGAGGGAAGCAGGACCGGGCTGCGGGCCAGGCACTCACCCCCTGCCCGCACCGCAGAGAGAGCAGATGTTTGCTGCGCAGGAGATGTTCAAGACGGCCAACAAGGTCACGCGGCCCGAGAAGGCCCTCATCCTGGGCTTCATGGCCGGCTCCCGAGGTGGGTTCGTGTGGGAGGCCCTGGGCCCTGCAGGGGCCGGGGGTGGGTGGGGCGGCTCCTTGGCCCCAGGACCCGCCCAGCAGCCTGCACCCTCCACAGAGAACCCGTGCCAGGAGCAGGGGGACGTGATCCAGATCAAGCTCAGCGAGCACACGGAGGACCTGCCCAAGTCGGACGGCCAGGGCAGCACCACCATGCTGGTGGACACCGTGTTCGAGATGAACTACGCCACGGGCCAGTGGACGCGTTTCAAGAAGTACAAGCCCATGGCCAACGTGTCCTAGGGTGGCCCGCTACCCGCCTCCGCCGGCGACTCGGCTCCGGCTTCTGAGGGCAGGCCTCCGGAGCCCCGCTCCAAGCTGTGGCCTTGTTCTCGGGTGTTTTGGACTTATTTTTTAAGTTTTAGGATGGGTTCCTTTTTGTGTGATCTAAGTCACTTTTTTGGATTAAATATTACATTTTTGAATGTTAAGGTTAACCAAAAAAATTTTAACTTCCTAATTTTAGTGACAGCTCTGCCTGTTATAGACTTTTTTATTTTTCTTAAATTCCATTGCCCTCGAGGTTGAGGGGACCAAGGGGGGCCGAGCGGGCTGAGAAGAGGTGGGGACAGACAGTCCCGCCCATGTTTTCTACTTGTCTTTTGTACAGTGTGAGCATTGAGACCAGTCTCCGCACCTGTGTTCTTGTACAAACTACCTGAGCAATTAAAGTTTAGCTTTTCTACGGGAAGCCCAGGGCCGTGTGTTTGGGACAGCGTGGGGGGTCACCTATGGGAGGCTCTTTCCCTCCCACCACAGCACCTTCGAGGGGGATTTGGAACAACTTTTAAAATTATAACACACACAGTCTCACAATCAATCAGATCCACGCTTGCTGTTTTGATGTCCGTTGGACTCCCAAGACCAGTCTCTCCGCTCCGCCTTCTCCGAGGGGAGGGCCTTGCAGTGACAACAGACCAGAACCTCACACTGCAGCCCATGTAACACACGTTTAAGAAAAGAGCCTTTCAACGTTTTTAATACAAAAATATTCATACACAATTTTCCAAACACAGCTTCCACTTTAAATGCTATTTCTCCCCATGTTGGCAGTCCCCGAGTCTGCATTCCATACATCCCCGACGTGAGCTTCAAGTTTCCGAGTCCGCCAGAACACGATAGCACCATGGTCCTGAGGAGGCCTGGCCGCTGGGCCCAGACACCAGGAGGCACAGAGGCTGAGGTTAGGTTCTGGCAGTTCACATCCCGATGGCACGTGGGCACTGTGCTCCTCGGACTCGGCACAAACTCCATGGAACAGGCTGCCTCCGCTCCCGACAGCAGGTCGTCCTGGGAGACGGCTCTGTCCACTGACCGGGTTCCCGAGAGGGAAATACTTCAGCGGCGTCACACAGACCTGAGTGTGAGGCCCCGGAGCCGGGACGGCGACAGACCACCTGCGTGGGGGCCAGACTGGCCTCCCCAGCGGTCCCTGCTGAGGCGGACACGCTCCTGGGCCTTGGAGCTGGTGAGGCGCCCACCTCCCGGGCCAGTGCCGGCCGGGGAGCCACGACCACACTGGGCATAGGTTCCCGACGCCAAGGAGTCCTGAGGCTGGCCATTCCTTTTGTTTCCGCTTCACAGTAATGACAGAAGGGCTGATACGTGTTCTGAGACAAACCCCACACCACCCCCGAGACAGTCCCTCGGCCCCAGGGGGAAGGCCCTTCAGGCTCTCCTCCACTGGCAGGTCCTGCCCCGTCATGGTTTTCTAAAGACTCAAAAGGTAGTGTTATTTGCTCAACAGTTGAACAGTTTTGGGAGAAAGGGCAGCTATATTGAAAATGTTTCTAGTATTTCCTTCAAGATCATTTAAAATTTGGAAACACCAAAGTGACACAATCACAACAATTGACTGCTGTCAAGTATGAAAACAAGTTCATTGCTCCCCAAAGTGCACTGCCAACCCAAGTCGGGCATCCTGACGTAGCCGCCCAGCAGGAGGGCAGGATGGGTGGCCTCCGGCCTGCCATGAACCCTGGCTAAGCACAGCCACAGCCCGTGCCCAGACCTCACACACAGTGTGAAGCCGACAGGACGTACGGAGCATGACTAAAGCCAGCCTTTCCGTGGATGACTCGGAAGTTACGGACTGACACACTCCACAGCCCAAGTCAGGCAAGTGGGTTTCCATCAGAACGGGAGCCAGCACAGACACGGCCGGCCAACCTCTGGGCGCTCCTTCCGGTTCTGTGTGGTGACTCCCGGGCCAGGAAAACCAGCGTCGGCCTGGAGGCCAGGACCCACAGCCCCAGGGGCACACTGGTCTCAGCCTGGCAGACCCGCCCCAGCGCCAGTCACAACCTGGAGGAGAAGGGTCTGGGGCACGGCTACCTGCAACTCAGGACCAACCGTCTGGGAGAGAGGCCCCCAGCCGCTCAGGACCAGCTGTGCACCCTGCAGACAGCAGGCACCAGCACACGTGTGCCCCATGGTGCTCCCCCTTCTCGGGGGGCTCTGAGCCCCAGGGTGGAGAGGGACTCCTGAAAGAAGAATCGTGTTTCGCACAGAGAATGCACTATTTTCCAAAAGATTCTCCAGGGTTGGCAGGCGGTGCCCTGGCTGAGCACATCTGACTGGCAAAGAGCGAGGAAGCCGCCACGGCTCCATGTGGCCAGCTCTAGCCTCGTCTGGGCCCGGAGAGAACACTGCAGACACACACGTGTCCTGGCGGCACTGGGCCCGGGGGGCGGTGCCAAGTGCGAAGCAAAGACCTTCCCCGGAGTCCTCACCAAACCACCACGCGGCCGCACCCGCCAAGGCCACACCCTGGCCGGGAGGACTCAGGGTCGCGTCAGTAAATACACGGTTCAGTCGGTGGTAATTGTGAAACAAGTTTAGCAAAAATATATTGAGAATAAAAGCCAGAAACTGGTAAAGAAACGTCAAATGAGAAAGATGTACAAAGTTTCCCCCAGGTGTTGGTAAGAGCCCAGGGCAGCAGAGGCCAGCGAGCTGCGTCTGGGGCCCCGCCCGCCCGCACTCCCAGGAAGCGGCTCTGAGGGGCCTGCTCTCTGAAGGCCAACAGGGCAGGGACTTAGGTCCAGCCCGCAGACAGCAGGGACCCGGAGCCAGCCGTGTGCTGCGTGAGGAAGGGCACTTGGAGGGAGATTTCACATTAGTACAAACACGCTGGTTCATCAGAGCCAGAGGTGTCCGGGGCCTGAGCCCCCGCCATCCAGAAAAACTACTCTAGGGTTCAAGGATAAAAACATCTCATATGCCAATCGTGTCGATCACGTGAACTAAAACCAGTGGGAGGGGACGCGACATTGAGCGGTTCAAGTAGCTGTAATGCTGTGGTCCCGGCTCGAGCCCGCGGCGCAGGCCGTCAGTGCAGACGCAGCGGGGCTGCGATGGCTCAGTGGGAGGCGCTCCCTCCCGAGAGGCCTGTGCTCCTGTCGCGGCTGTGCCCCGCCCAGCCCCCCAGCTGGGCCCACCCCACCCGGGGCAGGCTGTGCTATTTGCCCTCCGTGACCCTCCGCCAGCACCGCCGCCGCCGCCGCCTGCCCTGGGGCCTCCTGGGCTCGGGGAAGGGGCTCTGGGCCTCGGCCCCTGCCCCGGACTCGGTCTCCACGTCGTGCTCGCAGCAGTAGGCGCGCCCGTCGGCGGCCGAGCGCAGGGCGGCCGTGTCCTGGTGCTCCTTGCAGAAGGAATTGGGGCACAGGTGGCAGAAGGAGGCCGAGGGCTTGCCGCACACGTCACAGTGATGCCACGGGCACACCCACTTCCCTGCAAGAGACGGCCGTTAGCAGACACCCACCGCCCGGAGGCCAGCCGCCCGGGCCTGCCCTGCCCGCCTGTGCCTGCTACTGCCCGCTCCCCCAGCCCCGGCCCGCGGCCCGCTGGGCTCCGCTGGGCGCTGGTCCCGCACACACCGCTAAGGGCCTGGCCAGGCCCGCTGAGGCCTCTCTCTCAACATCTGCCTGCCACCCTGCTCGCATTTCCCACCTGTTTGACAGACACGTTTGACTTTTACAGCGCTGGGCTTTCTCTGCCTTGGGGGCTCCTGGTTCCCCTCCCCACCGCTGCGGGCCCTGAGCCTCGGGGCACGCACCGAAGGGCCGCTTGCCCAGGCCCAGGCAGGACAGGTGGTAGGCCTTGGTGCAGGACTTGCGGTCGCACAGCACCAGCTGCCCGCCGTCGCCGCAGCGGAAGCACTCGTCCTCCGACGGCTTCCTCCCTTCGCCTCTGGCGCGGCGCCGGCGGCCTTTCTTCCGCGTCCTCTTGGCCTTGTCCTCGGACAGCGCCGTGGACGTCTGCGGAGAGGGAGCGCGGTCCGTGGGGAGCGGCAGCAGAAGCCGCCCAGCAGCGCCAACGGGAGCATAAGGCCCGGCCCGGCGCCCCGCCCGAGGCGGAAGGTGGGACACGCAACACAGGCGCGAGCCCTTGGCAGAGAGGCCCAGGCGGCCGCCTGCTGCCGGCGGGCCAAGGGCACACGGGCTCTGCCGGCCCCAGGGCCGTGGTGAGTGGGAAGAGCAGCGGCTCCCACCCAGACGCCGTGCCGTTACCTTCGGCCTGTCCCCGAGGAAGCCGCTGCAGTTGGGGGCGCCGCACCGGCACACGGTCTTCTCGTTGCCCAGACAGTCCAGGTTGTAGTTGAACGTCAGCTCCGTCCCTGGGAGGCAGACGGCCACACGGAAACACCGTCTGTTTACCATCTGAGCCGCCGGCGCCCCCTCCCCACGCCTACTCGACCCCGCGGCTGTGAATGTCGCTCATGAAACACTCCCTCCAGACACGACCTCGGGCGACCAGCGGCCCCCCGAGGGCTTGGGCTCCGGCCGTACCTGCGGGGATGTCACACACGGCAAACAGGCCCACACGCGTGTCGCCGTTCACCGTCCACTTGAGGGTCTCGCAGTTGGGCTGGCAGCTGTGGTTCATAAACCTGGAGTAGTTCCCTTTGGGGCCGGCGTCGATGATGCGGTCCTGGAGGCACAACGCAGGGCTCGCGTGCGTGCCAGGGCCTCGCCCGGCCTCTGCGGGCCCCTCACCGGACTCGCCGGCAGCAGGTGTTGCACTGGCAACCGTGGTCTCCTGCGTCCACTCGGACAGGAGCCCCCAATCCAGTCCCGTTGCTGTCGCTCCCGGAGGGCAGGGCAGGATCACGTGGATGGGACCAGCCCGGGGAGCCCGGTGGGAGCCAAGGCCCGGTGCCCCCTCACTGGCGGGCACCGAATGTCGGCACCAACAACCCCGGGCACACAGAGCACAGCCAACACTACGAACGGGCACAGGACGCAAACACAATTCTGAGCGGAAGGGAAGACGCCCGCACTCAGCAGCCGACCCGAGCCCTGGTCACGGTGGCACCGACAGGGCCGTGGTCAGAGCCCGGTGGCGGTCAGCAGCTGGGGCAGCCCTGCTGGCACGGGCCTGTGCTCCCAACTCTGCGTTGCTGAGGCAAGCCCAGAGGCGAGAGCTGCCCGCAGGGAAGGCGGGCAGGCCTGCTGTGCTGGGCGCCAGGTGCCAGGCACCGAGCATAAGGCCACACCAGGACCAGGCCTGGCAAGGGACACGGAAATGCCAGCTCCCCTGCCACGTGCACGCATCTCCCGACACGCCATCTGCACGCACCTCACACCCTGCGTGGTTCACCCATGGGGTCGTGGCAGACGGTCCCTGACCCAGGTGCAGGGTGCACCCAGCCCTGGACCCCGCGCTGCGGCCACTGCCAGCGCCCAGCCCACAAGCCCGCAGGCCAGACCTGTCTGCACACCGCCCGCCCTGTCCCCACCGCTTCCCTCGTGGTCAGATGGTCTGTGTGCCCTCACAGACCGCCCCTCACTCAGCACTCCCTGGTCTGGTGCAGCCACCTCTCCCTCCCCGGCTGTAGCCCGCATCCTCCCAGGTCTCCGCCATCCACCAGCCCCACCCGCCCCCTGCAGGGGCCCTCACTGCTGAGACACGTCCACGGTGGGGTCCTGCAGGGTCCTGAACTCTTGTCCAGGTGGCAGCGGAACGCCCGTGACCTTCCTGGGGGAGATGGGCACTTTTCCAGGTTTACCTCACTGGCCTGTGCTCGTCCTGCCCCTCCGCCCCAGCCTCTCTCCTACACGCTCGCCCTTGCCAGCTCACAGCTGCCTGACGCCCCTATCCTGCCGGGGCCTCCCAGCCTGTGCCCGAGGCGGCTGCTCAGGGCCTGGTCCTGGGCCTGCCGGGTCTCCCCATTGCTAACACAGTGCTCCGTTTCCCTCAGAGGGTCACCTCAGCTGGGGCTCTCAGCAACCTAAGCCTCCTACCCCATCCCCGTGCCCCCGCGCTGGGGCAGGGTGTTTCTGTCAGAAACGCTGAGGAGCAGAGCCTGCACCGGGCGGCACCCCCTCAGGAAACGGCTGCGTTAAAGGAGCGACGAGGCGCTCTGCTCGGCAGGCCCCGCCAGCTCCCTCCGACCGGAACGGCGAGCTCGCTGCCTTTGGGATGGTGGGGTCACAAAAGGAGTCACCCCAGGAAGGGCCATGACTGCGCCCCCGATGCGCCTGCCCCGCCCCCCCATCCCCACCCCCCTGTGCGCTGACCCCCACAGGCTTCCTTCCAAACGTTCACTGCTCTGGGCTCAGCCACGACCGACCACGCGGCCCCACTTCTCCCCGGCGACAGGAAGAGGCCAGCGCCCCTCAGACCAGGGAGCACTCGGGCCCGGACGCCTTGCAGCGCCGCCCGCAGGCGTTACCTTGTCGATGGTGAGCATGTAGAAGTGCGTGATGTCGTTCTCCTGCGCGCGCTTGATCCGGGCCATGCACTCCTCCTCGTCGATCAGCTCGCCCACATACTCGTTCACAAACTCCCCCTGCGAGCAGAGCACAGGCTGGAGGCCGCCCGCCCGGCCCCTCACCAGCTGCCCGGCCCAGCAGGGGGCGTGTGCCCGGGACCGCCTGGGCTCCCCTTGCTAGGTAACTTCCCGGTCAGTCACGTCTCCAGGACCTGCCGTGGTAACTCGGCCCCACGCGGTGCCCGCCGCGTGCCCAGCACAGCCCGAGCGCGCAGCCGGGGGGAGGGGGCGGCGCACACCTTGCGGATATCCCGTGTGGCCACCAGGCCCCATCCCTTGCCGTCGGTGCGCACGATCTTGGTCTCGGGGTACTGGCGCTTGCTGAAGCTCTGGTTCTGGCAGGCCTCGCCGGCGGGGCACACCTGCGGGTGGCACTCAAACATGAGCATGCGGTTCAGGCACTGCGAGTCCGGGCCGCAGGGGCTCTCGTCCGTGGGCTTGCAGTTGCACTTGGGGATCTCGGAGATGTCGGCCGTGTAGATCTGCACTTTCCCGTAGGGCTTGTTCACCTGCGGGACAGGCCTGCCTCAGCTGGAGCCCGACACCCCGCCGCCCATCAGCCTCCTGCCGGCCGGCAGCTGAGGCTGGCAGGGCCTGGCCAGAGGTGCGCAGCCCCCGCCGGCCAAAGGGCCCTCGCCAGGCGGGGCGGCCGCCTGCCCTGGAGCTCCGGAAGGTGGGCTGAAGCACGACGCCCCCTCCCCTCCGCCCCACGTGCCCTGTGGTAGTGCGACTCCCACTGGACAGCTGGCACACAGGCTGCCCGGGGCACTTCCCTCCACGAGGAGCACCCGCAGCGCCACCTGGCCGGGTGGGCTCCGGGCGTAGCCTCCACCCGGCCTGCTCCCTGCTAATGGAGCAGGAGGCACGGGCAGGGAAGCAGCAGAGGCAGGAGGACACGGGGCCGCACGCCTGCCCTTCCCCGCACGCTCACCTTGATGTGCTTGTAGGGCGGGGGCTTCCGCTCGCTCTCCTGCGTCTCCCTGGCTTCCCGCTGCAGTTTGATTTCACGGAAACGCGCTTCTGCTTCTTGCAGTGCTGGAAGGTCAGCGCGGAGGACAGCGCTCGGTCAACAGGCCCATCTGCCCTCCGGCGCACAGTCATTCCCGAGGCCCAGGGCCCACTCGGCAAGGTCCACTCCCACCCCTGGCGCCCAGCACTCGAGCTGACAGCAGGCAAGCCCCCACACTCTGTCTGAGTGAAGCACTGACCTTCCGGAAGACTGCCCAGCGCCGGGTGAGACGGACCACCCGCAGATCACAGGCAGGCCCCCTGCCCCCCGGGGCCCCCAGGCCAGGGTTTCTACGGAAACCAGGGCTCCCCCGCGACCGTACCGTTTTTGAAGACTCTGCCGATCCCGCTGACCGCCTGGTAGCGGCTGCCCCGGTCCCCCTCCATGTACGGGAACACTCGAGCCTGATGCGTCCAGTAATAATCTTTAGACCCAAAGAAAAACACAGGGAATTCTCCAATCTCGTGCTTCATTTTCTGAATATTTGGGGGGACATTTTTGGGATGGCAGACTTCAGCGGGCCACCATCTATTATAAATATTAAAAACAGGGTCACAGACTCCTCAGAGAGAGTGGCGCTGGCTCCACACGTCCGCTCTGCAAGGCAAGCACAGGGAGGGCGGGGGCGGTCCCACCTGTAGTTGCCGAGTTTGACCCACACGATGTCCTGGTGGTGCAGCCGCTTCCCCGCCCGGCAGTCGTTGCAGAACCAGCTGCCGTCGGGCATGTCGATGCTCAGGCAGTCGGGGTGGAAGGCCGCCGGGCAGGACTCGCAGCACAGCAGGCTCCCTCCTGCAAAGGGGCGGCTCAGCGGCAGCACACGCGGGAGCACCGCGCCGAGCCGCTCCCGCCGCCAGGGGCCCGGCCCGCCGCACGGGGACCCCGCTCACCTTTGGAGCACACGAAGCACCAGCTCACGTTGATGTGGGCGTGGTGCCGCTTCCCCTTCCGCGCGGTGAAGTGGGCCGTGCAGACGATGCTGTGGGGCGTGAGCACCAGGCAGCCGGCCGCCAGGCAGGCGTCCCCGCCGTGGTAGGCGACGGGGCAGCGCACACACCGCAGCATCTTCCCTGGGGAGAGACGGAGGCGCCGTGAGCAGGCGAGGCAGCCGGCCTCGCGTGGCCACGCACACATCGCCACGACTGGCAAAAAAGAACCGGGCGGGCGGTGGGGATGTGCAGCAGAAAACATCTGGGAAACGCCTGAGGAAAGGGCCCAGCATTCGCAACCCTACACTCTAGCCCTGGCCGGTGGGCTCAGTGGTTAGAGCGCCAGCCAGGGACTGAAGGGGCGCAAGTTCAATTCTGGCCAAGGGCACGTACCTGGGGTGCAGATTCAATTCCCGGCCCACGTGTGGAAGGCAACCAACCAATCGATGTGTCTCTCATTGGTGATCTCCTCTCTTCCCCCTCTCCTCCCTCCCACCGCTCTGTCTGGAAATGAATGAAAAGATTACCCTCAGGTGAGGATTAGTCAGAACGTCACTAAGATGCCACCCTCTAAGGGCTGGCTCCTGGCCGCAGCCTTGCTGTGTCTGCCCACCAGGGGCCAGCACGGCCCCGAAGAGCCAGGCACGGCCCAGGTTCCTGGAGGTAAAGTCGCCTGGGATGACACGCTGGTGCCAGCCCCAAGGTCACACGTCAACATGAAGCCACAGCTACGTCTTAACTCCAGACTCCACTTCCCATACGAGAATCAGAACCCCCCGGGAAAAGCCCTGTACGATGACGGGACAGGAAGGGGGGAGTCCTTTGTTAGGAACCCCGCCACCTGCTGGTCAGTAACAGAAAAGGTTATCCAAGTAACGCCGCTGCCGCCCTCCCTGCGCCCGCGGGCTGACCCGCCTGCCCACCTTTCGTGGCACGCGAGCTGGAGGGGTGGGCGGCGTGGCAGCTCACGCAGCTGTGCAGCGGGCACCGGAAGCCGCGGCCCTCGAACACGGTCAGGGGGAACTTGCGCACACAGGCCTCGTGGTAGAACTTCCCGCACTGCGGCACCGCGCAGCGCCTGGCCTCTGCCGTGCTCTCCTTGCACACGAAGCACGAGTGGATCCCTGGGGGGGGGGGGGGGGGGCAGGATAGGAATTAGCTGGAGCCCCTGAGCCACAAAAGTGGCAGCGCTGGGGCACCAGGCTGCTTTCCGCGGGAAGGGGGGGAAGGGGGGGCCACGCAGCCTCAGCTGCAGGACGGGTGTGGAGCAGCCAAGGTGGGCCCACTTAGGTGAGCGAGGAGTGGGGGCAGGGTTCTGGGGAGGGGTACGCAGCCACCTGAAGAGGCACGCAGAGCACTGGCGCCCAAAGGGAGGCGTCCAGGGGATGCCACGCCTGGGGCACTCCCCGGACGGTCAGGCGTCTCCGAGGGCCAGGAGCGCCAGCGACCGCATGCTGCCCACGCCCGGCCCGCCCGGCTGTGCTGGTGAAGCCCGAGAGCAGGGGCCACGGAGGGAGGCACTAGAGCGGCAGCACTCGGCTCCCCCAGGGGCTGCCGGCCGGACCCCGGACCACACGCGTGCGGGGGCCACGCCGAGCACCGAGGCGGCACCGGGGGAGGCGGCAGCGGGGGAGGCGGCCCTCCGGGTGCGGGCGGCCCGGGGCGTGAAGGGCCGTGCGCGGGCGCTGCCGGGCTGGCGGGCGGCACTTGCCTGAGACACACTCGCTGCAGACGAAGCCCCGTTCCGGCGGCCGGGGCAGCCCGAGGCAGGCGAGGTGGAAGGCGCCGCAGCAGGCGCCCTCGCAGGGCAGGAGGCGGCCGGGCTTCTCGCACAGCTGGGGGCAGAGAGCGGATGAGCCCTGCGGCCCTCGCCAGCGCCCGCAGCTCCTCCCGGAGCGGGCACACGGAGCGGGCACACCGAGGCACGTCCGAGCACAGGCGCCACCTCCCCCCCCCCCCCCCCCCGCCCTGTCCGCTTCACCCAGCCCCGGGCAGAAGGACCAGCGAAGCCCCGGGCCCCAAAGGAGCACAGCCTGCGGGCCGTCCGACGCGAGGGAAGAGCAGGTGAAAGCTGGACACGTGCACACCCGGGGCTCACCCTCTCCAGGAGTCAGGCTCACCCCAGGCAGCTGCGAGGGCCGAGCTGACCGCTCGGTGCCCTACGCGCTCAGGGTGCTGGGCACAGCTCTTGGCGGCCCGCTGCCGGTGTGCGCCAAGGGGAGTCAGACATCCGGCAGCTCCCGCCTCCTCCCACGGCTCCCCACCCCCAAAAGGGCCCGGGGTCAGCAGGCGGCCGGCCTCACCTGGCACACGTGCTCCTTCTTGGCTGTCAGGCCTCGCTCCAACTTCTTTGAGGACACGGACACTTCGGTCTGAGCTTCATCTGCACTTTCGTCCGGGGACTCCGAGGGCTCATCGCCCATGCCGTCCGAGACCTGCAGGTGGAGGAGGCGGACGACAGTTCACTAGTCGCAGGGGGCTTCAGACAGGCCCGCCGGGCTCGGTCCACGTGCACACGCGTGGTACACGCCTGATGCACACGCACACTGGCCTCTCCACTCGCCGGCACGGCCAGCTCTTCTCAGCAGACGTGGTCACAACGTGGAGAGAAGCTGGACAGAAATCTGAAACGGGCTTCATTCCAGTGGACCTGCAGGGCGTGTGTACACATGTGCACATGCCCCAACAGGCCAACACGGAGTGACACCTATGGGATGCAATGTGCTTGCACAGGTGGCCGCAGGCGGGCTTTGGGACCGAGGGTCCTGGCCTCTCGTACCCGGTGGGTAACGGCCGGCTGTTTTAAGTGAGAGGGGCACCGGTGCCAAGTGGGTTTCTGAAAGAACCGGCGTGCAGTCGGAATGGGAGCCCCCATACAGCAGGCGAGGCTCCGTGTTCAGAAGTGTGACGTGCACAGTGAGGCAGGCTCGTCACGCCTGTCCCTGCGTGTTTCCCTCCCCCCGCCTGTCAGTGGAGCTGGGTGGGGGCCGGAGGCGCCCGGCTCTGCTGGGCCGCCTTCCCCCTCGGGGCTTCCCTCCCTACCTCTGACTCAGCATCCCCTCCCGCGACCAGCAAGACTGTGTCTTTAAATAGAAACCGATAAAACTCTCTCAGACAGCAACTGGTGGTTTTCTTAAATTCAGTTCTCAACTGAACATCAGAGAGATACATCTCACATCCAGTAAATGCTGAGAAGTGAATTTTCAACTGAGCCAACACATGGACTGCACTTCTGCCCTCAGGAGCCACGGGCACGGACGTGCCCCCGGCTTGCCATCCGCCCAGGGACAGAGGGAGGGCGGGAAGAGGCCACATTGGAGAAGTCACAGAAACAAGTGCACAGCCCACAGACAAGCCCCTCCTGCAGCGTCAGCACGGGCCTCTGTCTAGACGGACGGCCCGCGAGCAGAAGAAATAGGAAAACCACACACGGGTTTGCTGGCTTAGCCGCCTGGCTGAGAGGGGCCGGCCTTTGGAGGACCAAACAGACTGTGCGGGCAGGGGGACAGGTGCCTGGCCACTGTCCAGCCTCGACATGCCCATGTCTGACACCCCGTAACCTCATGGTAAGACGGGGACCTTTCACCCGGTTTCCTCGTTTTCCAGGACTGAAGCAGCAGGTGAGTGACTCGAAACCCCGTCTCGTGTGGGAGAGCCCGGTCACCATGGCTGCCTGGTGGGAGGCCGGGGCCCACAGCCCTCCGGACACGCGCCCCGTTCTCTAGCACCAACATCCCGAAAGAAGGCAGCCTGAGCGGGCGTTCCGAGTGCAGCTCCATGCACACGCCCCTCAGATACGGGCCCCAACGGGCCGGGCACAGGAGACCGGGACTGCAGGGCTATCGGCCGGGGCCATACGGGGAGGTGGCTGCCTGACAGCCAGCAGCCCAAAGGGGCCTTCGGGGGCCTCCCCGCCCCCCACGCCTCCCTCAGCGTGGCTGGAAGGAAAAAGCAAGGAGAGAAAGACAGAAGACACAGACCAGCCTGGGCAGGAAGGAGCAGCAGTTTATTTCTGGTTTACAGAGAAGGGAGCAGTCTCCATGTGGACAGCTCCCGGGGACAGCGTGTGAGGGAGTGACACGGGGTACACATTCGGGGAAGGAGCTGTCAGCCACCCATCACAGCCCATGCAGCTGGCCGCCGCCCGGCCCAGCACACCCTCACTCCAGCCTGGGCAGGGGCCACGGTGGTGAGACAAGTCACTGCGGTCCCACACAGTCACACCCCCCCTGCGCCCCTCCGTCTGCTCCGCCCCCGAGAGGATGCATGTGGAAACGGACACGGCGTGGCTGACCTGCCTGTGGGCGTTCCCTGCCTCACTGGAGCAGGCTCCACGTGGCTGGGCCCACCCAGCACTCGCCCGGGCAGCCTCCCTGCTCCTCACGTGCAGTCAGCTTGCCTACGGGCCTGGGAAATGGGCTCCTGCACGCGGATGCAGCCACCTCACGCACACAGGTTCAATGAGACCTCGCACATGTGTGACCTGGTGACCGTGTGCGAACCAGCTTCCCAGAGCCGTGCCCTGTGTGGGGGACACTCAGACCAGGCAGCTCCCAGCCCCACAGGGTGTCACGCAGAGTGAGCTGTAACCGTGACAACCGATGCCTTCCCAGGCTGGTACCACACGTGTCTGAAGCATAAGCACAGGCCTCACAAAGGGCGGGTGTTCCTGTGAACGTGTCCCGTGCTGCTGAAGCGGCGACCAGCACCATCACAGCGCTGGGGCCACAGGTGGCGGGAACCTGTGTTCAGCAGGTCTGGTCCACTCAAGGCAGTCACTGGGCTCATGGCCATAGCGAGATGCCCGTGAGTCCCCGCAGCTTTTAAGCCCTTCGCCACCCACGTACCGCGTGCACGCCAACTCCAAGACGAGCAGACTGGAACCCTCTCAGCTGCCCGGCTCAGGGCTGGGTCACGGCACACCCTGTGCTTGGGGTCCCCAGGGCGTGGTGGTGAGAGCCCCGGGGAGGCCCGCCACAAAGCCAGGGCCAGCCCGTGTCACAGACAACAGTCTCAGTATTCCGACAGCCCATGCCCTCGGCAGGCATGGGCCGGGAGTGCGCCTGGAGAACAGAACAAAGCCTGCTCAGGCCCACCAGCACGTGCACAAGCCCCACGGCGGGGCCGGGACACCCCCACTCAGCCTCCATCGTCAGCTCGCTTCAAAACACGCTGGCAAACGGCGTGCAGTCACGCAACAACCAGACACGGGCCGAGAAACACTGCACAGGTGGACCCGACACAGAACCACCGAGACACAAAGGTGTCCGAGAGACGCGGCCGCTGGGCCTCTCCTGACCCTGAGCCTGAGCCTGCCCGGAGGCCCGGGACCCCGCGCGCCAGGGGCCGGCGGGGACGACACACGTGGCCTCCACCCGCTGAGGACAGGCCCCGGCCCCGAGGTGGGTGCTAGGATTCCAGCGACAGCAGCAAGATGGTGCACACGTCAGGCCAGCTTCAGGACCAAACCCGACACACAGGACTCAGCGCCCTGGAAACACCACAGAAGCCGGTGGGGTTTGGGCCGGCGGGAACCTCCTCTAGAAAGCCATCGCTTTTCAGAGACAACGTGCCGACGTCACACCAAAGGCTGTTCCAGCCTGAGGAAGGCCGCCGGCCAGAACCGCCAAGCACGAGGCGCCTGCTTCAGAAGCGTTAAGTCAGGAGCACGCGAGAAAGAATCTGTGACCTTGCCAGAGCTCCCTCCCTCCGTCTCCACCTGTCCTTCCACCAAGGAACGCGGGCCCAGTGCGTGGGGTCCATCCTTCACGTACACACTGGCGCGATGACGGACAGACGTCACGGCCGCCACGGCCCAGCGCACACCCCCCAGGCTCTGGGCCCAGCACCTCTCAAGGGCGCCGTCATTCCTCCTTCACACAGGGCACATCTGGTTTGGAGCTGCCTGCTAACTTGGTCTTCTCTTTTCAGGCCATTTCCAAGAGACGCAAGTGTGAGTTGCCCACCAGTAGGACCTGCTGGCTCTGCTTTGCCCTCACGCCCGGCCGTTCTCGCCGCTTTTGGTCACCCATGTTTGGGGAGCAGGCAGGGCCAGAGGCCGAGGCGCATCACCCGTCACGTGGTCCTGCCGTGCCCTGCAGGGCTTCCTCCCCCTTTTCTGTGCTCAGCTTCAACGTGGGCTTCCTGCTGTGGCCGCCGCAACCCCGAGCGCCTGGAAGCTGGCCATAGGAGCTGTCCCGTTGGCTTCTGGGAACCTCCTCTCCCCCTGGGCCCTTCAACCAGGGAGGAGCGGATGTGACAGACAGGACACCCTACAGAGCACCCGGCACACCTGCTCCTCCATCCACACTGCACACACCACCCGTCACCTGGGAGCGAGGCCTCAGCACACAGGCACGTGGGCAGCAGAACCACAATCAAGTGGTTGCAAGAACCGAGTGAAAGTGGCCTGTGTGCTGTGGCCACTTGCACTCAGTTCCTGAAAAGCTGACCTCCGACCTCCATGCCAGGACAGGGTGCTGCATGCAGAGGCGGGAACTGTGCCAAGGGATGGGGCCTGTGCTCTCAAAGCAGCTGCCTCAGACTCTGGCTGAGGCCTCTAACCACTACCCATCCTCTCAGCATGTGGACAGCGTCGCCATGACAACCGTGTGAACACTGCAGCGCAGGAGTCTTGACAACAGGCAGCTCAGCCGCTGAAGTGACTCAGCCCCGCGGCTCTGTCCCTAAGCTCAGGGCAGAGCCCATCTCCCCACCCCCACCCCAGGCCAGCAGGCCTAACGGTGTACTTGGCAAGGCCACCCTAGCACTGGCGGGGACAGTTCTGCCAGGAGGAGACTCCCTCCCGGCAGCATGCTGCCCACACCTGCCTCCGCCTGCCGCTCGCCTCCCACGTCCCAGGGGATCCCAGCTCAGCAGAGTGCACACCCACCCGGTCCCCACGCGCCCATGCCTGCGGCTAAGGCTAACTCAGCGCCGGCCCTTCTTCGGACACGCAGAAAGCGCGGTCACTTGTGGCCGCTGGCTTGCCCGTCGGAAGTCACCAGCCACGATTTCAGCGATCGTTCCCCGAACTAGGGCCACGTGAACGCCACCTGTCAGACATGGCACTCGGTGGCCAGCTTCCTGAGGGGCACATGTAACTGCTGGGCTCTTCCCGCCCTGAGCAGGCACGGCTCCGGTCACCGGGAGGCCGCGCCCCTGCATCCGAGCGGAGCCACCGCCCGCACTCTGATGTGGCCCCGGAGCCCCGCTCGCCAGGCCTAGGTCCGTCGGTCCCCGGGCAGGATGCAGCCAAGAGGACACTCCTCCTGCCCACACAGCACCCACACTTCGGGCTAAGGAGGGAATGGTGGGATTTCATCATTTTATTGTTATAACCACTTTGTCACAAGCAAACCACTGCGTCTTTGCGATGAGCCAGGCACCCACGGGCTTTGCATGCGTGACAATCAATAACGGCTCGGGACACACGTGTAGTCAGAAATCGCCACGAGACTAACAGGCTTCGGAGGAGTCTACAGCCAACAGTGCTGCCGCCGCCACGTGGTGAGGACGTGGGGCCCCGGGGCTCAGCGCCCAGCGGCCCGGGGACGTCACACTGCAAACCCGTCTTCTTCCTATGGACACACCGTGGTGTCCCGTCAAACTGTTCAGTGAATAAGAGACCAAAACCTTCCGCTTCGTACGCCGGAACCAGCTGTGTCCACAGCAGCGCTGCACGCGGCTGGCGAGGGCGCCGCTCCGAGCGCTGTCTGTGCGGCTCCCGGAGGCTCTGACGCTGACGTGGGTCAGTGACAACCCAGGAAATACGAGCTGCAGGACAGGACCGAACCTGTGTGTGCCCTTGTCGCAGGCCCGGGACACCCGGCGGAGGGCAGCCTCCAGCTGACCCTGCAGTGACCGCTGGGCTGTGGTGTGTCTCTCGTGGGATGAAGTGACTGTTAAATGCCTCGAGCAGTATCTTACCTGGGTCTCAAAAGTGCTACCTGCGTTCTTCAGTGTGTGTGTTTACTGATACCAGTACAAACAGACCGCCCTCCTCTTCCACAGGTGACGAGGGCCACAGGGGCGCGGCAAGAGCCCCACCGCCGGCGTCCTGGACACCGCGCCGTGTCGGCAGCACAGGCAGCTGACTCAGTCCGACTTGACGGGTGTGGGCTCCCACAAAAGCTGTCACCAGTGAAGGCGAGAACAGTAAGCATTTGCTCTACTAAGGGAATAAGAAACGCGGTTACAACACAGGACCCCATCCGCGCCCTGCAGGCCGTCATGCAGTGTCACCTCCTACATCGGGTCCCTCGGGTGCCGGGTCTGTGTGGGGACAACACTGGGGTAAGTTGGTGGACCGCACAAGCCCTTCCCAAGGGATTTAAATTGTAACGTGACCTAAAACATGACTTAAATATCACCCTATCTGGTCCCTTACTTGGGTCAAAGGCGAGGGAAAGGGCAGTGGCCCGAGTGAGGGGCCAGCCTGAAGCCCGAGCACGTGGCCGGGCTTCGGCGCCCATCAGAGACCGGCGGTGTGCGGGGGACGCCGCTGCCTCACATGCTGCAGGCACTCGGCGTGGCACATGCTGGGGTGTGGACAGTAACGTGACACCTGCGGAGGGCGGTTCAGGGACCACTACCATTCTGTGACACACGTGACCGATGGAGGGCCTATGGTCTACATGTTCTACACGAGGAACCGAAGGCACAGCTCTGCACTCTTTCCAAAGGGCAGGCTGTGCAGGGTCCGCGATACAATGTATGTGGCTGTCCACCCACTTCCGGAAAGAGCCCAAGGCCCGCGATGAGAGCGTGCTTCCCAGCTCCCACGGACGTATGGGCCACAGCTGCAGCTGAGCCGGGAGAACGGGCATCGGATCGCCGGCTTGTCTAACAGCGCGCCCTCTGCACCCACCACGCCAGCTCTTCCCGTCCGTGCCAGGCCCAGGGAGGGACATGGGCGGGGAAAGCAGCTCTGTGTCCGCTCTCGCTGTGCCCGCGGGAGGCAAGGATGAGGAGCCGGGCAGAGGCCTGCGGCCCGCACCCAGAGCAGCAAGCACAGCCTGTGACTGGACCTGGGGTTGCGCATCCTCCTTAGCCCTGTAGGCCCTCTCCGTTCGCTCCAGGGCACGGCTCTGAGCGGGGACCGTCTGTATAGGACCTGCCTTCTCACAGCTCCACAGATCCTGGGGCTCGTGAGTTCTGCTGCCTTCTGGGGCGCACGCAGCGCTGGCAAGGAAGCCTGGTCCTGCCCCGGGGAGCCAGAGGACAGGCAGCGAGCTCGGGCCCCTGCCCCAGCAACTGGAGGGGCCTGTCCCTCGTCTGAGGCTGGCGGAGAGCCGAATGCCCGCCCCACTGGGGACCATGCCAGAGACAGTGCCACCCTCCGACACCACAGGGTGAGGGTCTGTCCACTACCAGCCACGCCCTGTGCTGCAAGGCTCAAGGCTCTCTTGCACTAGCATCTAGGGCCGGGCTCCTGTGCGCCATGAGGAAGGGGACACAGAGGACAGAGACGACATTCAGCCTGAACTAAGCTCCTGGCACCTGGCTGTCTGAGTCCCAGCCTCCCCTGGACACGCGTCCTCGCTGCATCCAAGGCTGGCTTCTGTTTCCGAGTACCGGCAAGACCAGTCTGTGACGGTCTACGTGTCACATGACAGCGAAGGCACACCTCCTACACCCTGCAACCCCAGAAAACAGGCGCCACGCCACCTGGATGCTCAACTACTGACGAAGGTGCCACACCAACAGGACCAGAGCACAGACACAGGCCAGCCCCTCCACGAGCCTCAGTCCACGAGCCTCGGTCCAGGAGACACAGGATCGAGAGGCTCCCGGCCTTGTCGGGACGAGTGCCAGTGGCCGCGTCGCCCAGCGGACGTCATGGCCGGACAAAGCACAGAGATCTCGGGAGCTAAGTGATCGGCCCTCCAGCATCCCCACATGCATTCACACAGACGCCGCGCTCCAACAGGCAGAGCGCGCCTTCTGCCTCCGCCTCGGCTCTAACGTCCAGAGCGCCTCCGCCTCGCCCACAGCGGGGAGCCCACCGGACGCCCAGCCTGCGGCTCAGGAAACGGCCGCCGTGGGAGTGTGTTTTACCTCGTTCTCGGTTAAGGAGGCAGAGGGAGACGAGCTCTTGCTAAAGGCGAGCGCCGAGGACGCGGCTGCAGGTGTCCGGCTCCGCTTCTTCAGCGGTTTGCACGCGTCAGACAGGTGCTTGGTTGCTGCAAAGTAATTGGAGCCCTTAAACAAAGCTGGCGAGCTGACCCATCCGTTCCCGCTGAGGAGGGGCCTGAGACTGAGGGCTCTGTCGCACGGGGCCTACGATGCTATAGTGGGAGCATCTGCAGGTACAGGCAGGCAGACGCACCGGGAGCGGCACCGTCCCCAGCCTGCCCCCGTCGTCCCGGGCCCTGGCTCCATGCAGCCTGGCCCACAGCCCTGCCAGGCATTCTGGACAAACCCCACACCACCATACCCACAGCAGGGCAGTCCACCTCTCTGGAGCTACGGTCAAATGCAACCACAACCCCACGACCCACTGACAGGAGCCTCCTCTTCATCACCACAGGCCCCCTCGTGCCCGCCTGCTCACGCAATCTTCTCGGGGGCTGACTTAAAGCCAGGACAGCACCTCAGAGAGCGAGGGCGCCAGCGCCGTCTGCAACCTGCACTACGGCTTCTCCTACATCTCCGTTCCTTCCCACTAAGAGTTGGAGCTGGAAGCTTCCTTTAACAAATGACCAAACAAGCCGAAACCGGTGTGGCTCAGTGGTAGAGCGTCGGTCTGCAGACTGAAAGGTCCCAGGTTCGATTCCAATCAAGGGCATGTACCTTGGTTGCGGGCACATCCCTGGCGGGGGGCATGCAAGAGGCAGGTGATAGATGATTCTCTCTCATCAATGTTTCTAGCTCTCTATCCCTCTCTCTTCCTCTCTTTAAAAAATCAATAAAATATATATTTTTTTTAAATGACCAAACAAGCCCTGGCTGGTTTGGCTCAGAGGTAAGCGCATTGGCCTGCAGACTGAAGGGCTTTGGGTTCAGTTCTGGTCAAGGGCACGTACCTGAGCTGCAGTCTCCATCCCCAGTGCCAGGTCAGGGCGTGTGCCAGAGGCAACCAATCGATGTGTCTCTCTAACATCAATGTTTCTCTCTGTGTCTCCCCCTTCCTGCCACTCTCTCTAAAAAAAAATCAATGGAACAAATATCCAAATAAAAAAACAAAAAAACAGACAAGCCCTGGCAGCGTAGCTCAGTTGGTTGCAGTCTCCATCCCCAGGCAGGGCACACACAAAATTCAACCAATGAATGCACAAACAGGTGGAACAACAAATCCATCCCTCTTTCTTAAATCAACCAATCAATAAAAAATCTCTTTAAACAAACACCAGTCAGTCCCACCAGAAAACCCGTCGGAAGGTGACGGCTGTGTCTCCCTGTCGCTGTCCTGACAGCTCCTTTCACAAACGTGCTAAGCACGTGTGGCGGCATCACCGATGCCGGAGCTGACAGCCCGGCCGGCGGCCGGCACGGGAGGGAGCCCACCAGCTGGCGGACCTTCTCCAGCAGTTTTAGTCCGAGTACACCACCACCTCGCAGGGACAGGCATGGCTTCCAAACTGAGCTGCGTCGTTCAAACACTGACCACAAGTGCACGGAGCCGTCCCGGCACCTGTCCGCCTGCCTGTGGCTCTGACCCCTGAAGGCTCCGGTCCCGCCCACCCACCAGGACAGAGGTCGGCCTGTGTCCACCCCCGCCCCCATCTCCCAGGCGCCTGTGGAGCCCACCGGCCGCGGGGCCACATTACCTGCCTGGCTCTTCAGGAAGGACACGGCCTCTGCGGCCTTGCAGGAGCCTGTTCGGGATGTTCTGTCTGCAACTGTCTCTCTCTGTTATTTAAAAAAAAAAAAAAAAAAAAAAAAAAAAAAGGAATAAGGAAAAGGGAAAGGATCACCTAACAGAACTCACGGAGGTTGCTGAAAAACAGTGACTGAGGCTTCTTCCTGAGGCTTCTACCAGCAGCCCAGCCCCACGTCTGCACACCCGGGGCCTCGCACGCCTGACGAGCCAGGAGTGTGGGGAGTGCACAGGGCCCTCCCCAGGCTGCCCAGCCCCTGAAGTGGCACCAGGCTCAGCCAACACCCCCAAGCTGCTCCTCCTGAGGACGCACGCTCGCAGACCAGCTCCACACGGACCGCACGCCACGGCACGCTTCACAGCCGAGCACACGTGGGAAAGACAGGCACTGAGAGCACCTGTCCAGCCCTCAGGACGGAGTCACGTCACTGAAAACTCCAAGGCCTCCTGGCCACCTGCACTGCGACCCGACCCCACACTCCCCCCGCCCGGGGCTGTGGACCAGGCGGTGCCCGCACCTGGGTGACGGCAGCTGGCGGCTGGCGAGTGACACGGCGTGAAAGCCAAGCCAGGCAGACACCACCTGCCGTCACAGCGGCTTCCTGAGCTGCGTCCGGAAGACGTGTCCACCCAGCCACTCAATGCGAATTGTGAGATTTTAACGACAGGGCCATTCTTCTGGCAAGTCATTTATGCAAATACTTCACAGCACCGTGTCAGACAGGCTGCTGGCAGTGCCCAGGGGACTGAGCAGCGCTCTGCGTCTCCCTGCAGGCGTCATCCACGCACCGGAGGAACCGCCTGGGGCCCTGGAGCAGGGCAGGGCCGGCTGCCCCCAGAGCTGCCAAGATGGCTTTACAGGAATAAGAGGTGCCACGGTGCCAATGACATGTGTGACATCACGTTCTGTCCGTGGACAGAGAGCGGAGGAAACGGAGCACTTCCTGACGCTCCCCAGCTGGACTGTGCGGGAACGTGCGGTGCGTTTCCCAGCACCACGAGCTCCTGGCACACTCTGCGAGCTCACGGAGCCACCGAGGGCCCGCAGGCTGGCAGGCCGCCCCGGAGCAGACCAGGTCTCCCGGAGGCCGAGCTGACTCACCGTCAGCGAGCCCCACAGACAGGCTGTGGCTCTAACCCCGGCGCTGCTTTACTGTGAGCGCGGAGAGCAGGGCTGGGCTCAGCCCCTGGCAGGTCAGCGCCGCTCTCGGAAGCAGCCTCCCATGATGCCGCGAGAGAAGCTTGTTGGCGGCCCCGAGCAGCCCACGGGAGGGGAGAACAGATGCCAGGAGTCAGTCACGGCACACGGCCCAGGCCAGGCAGACCGGACATTACCTTCCGGAGACCCTGCTTGTCCGCCCGGAGCCTCTTCCTGGGTGTCTCTTCCCGCTCAGCGTCTCCCGCAGGGTCCTGAGTCCTCTTCGGGAGGGCTCTTCTTCTCCCGTGTGCGTTACCTAGGAACGGAGATGGGGACGAGCGTGACAAACGCTGCACAGCAGGCCGGCGTGGCTCAGTCACTGAGCACCGGCCTAGGAACCAGGAGGTCATACATAGTTCAGTTCCCAGTCAGGGCACATGCCCGGGTTGCTGTGGGCTTGATCCCCAGTAGAGGGCGTGCACAAGGTAGCCAATCCATGACTCTCTCTCCCTCTCCCTTCCTCTCTGAAATCAATAAAAATAAAGTATTAGGAAGCTACAATGGAACAAAATACCGCTGCACAGCTGCACTGAGTACTGCTGGACATGGGTGCAAACCCCACTGGGGCAGTTCCCTCCGTCCTGGCCCCAGGGCCGAATGTTCCAGATCCAACCTCTGCATTTTGACCTGCAGGAAACTGTGCTTCCGGTACATCGAATTCTGAAAAACCCTCATCTAATCCAGGATTATTAGGTTGGCATTTACTACCATTACATTTTGACATACCATAGAATTTAATTTAAATACATGTATGCAGCCGAAACCAGATTGGCTCAGTGGTAGAGTGTTGGTCTGCGGGCTGAAAGGTCCCAGGTTCGATTCCAGCCAAGGGCATGTACATTGGTTGCGGGCACATCCCCGGTAGGGGGTGTGCAAGAGGCAGCTGGTCGACGTTTCTCTCTCATCGATGTTTCTAGCTCTCTATCTCTCTTCCTTCCTCTCTGTAAGAAAATCAACAAAAAATATATTAAGCCGAAACCAGTTTGGCTCAGTGGTAGAGCGTCGGTCTGCGGACTGAAAGGTCCCAGGTTTGATTCCGGTCAAGGGCATGTACATTGGTTGCGGGCACAACCCTGGTGGGGGGTGTGCAAGAGGCAGCTGATTGATGTTTCTCTCTCATCGACGTTTCTAGCTCTCTATCCCTCTCCCTTTCTCTCTGTAAAAAAAATCATTAAATATATTTTTAAAAATATATATATATATATTTAAATACATGTATGCATACACATAAGCCAACCACTGGGTGCAGACATGAGGGGGGGTGAGGGGACAATGAGAGGATAAGGACACATATGGAATACCTTAATCAATAAAGTAAAAGTAAGTAAAAATAAAAAATTTAAATATAACCCAGTGTTACTTTAATCCTTTACTTACTAAAGTTCAGACACAAGTTAAGTTGAACTTTAAAAACCCTACAATGTGCTGCATTTTATCCATTTCAAACAGAAGCACTCCGTTTGCACCTGCAAGTGCAGGGGTGTCTGCGCTCTGCGCCGAGCCCATGGGGCTCCAGGGCTCCCCCACCGGACCTTGGGCCCAGACGAGGACGAGGCAGGCGCTGGGGGGAGCCTGGCCTGGACCACAAACCACTCAGGGTTTGGCCTGGGCTTGCCTAACGTCCCGTGGGAGGGCAGTGTCACCCTCGAACCTGACTCCCAGGTGGCGCAGAGCACACTGGCCGTCTGCGGCATCCAGCAGTGCCCGGGCCCGGATGAGCCAAGTCACTTCCCTGGCCACGGCCCAAGGGCTGCTCACAGCCACCCCAGCGAGGCCTTCGGAGCAGTGAGCAGGGTGTCCGCCCCAAGGAGCAGGCAGTTGTGGCGTGCTCAGCCCTCCGGGTGAGAACAGCTCCATCCGAGCTGCCCGTCAGCAGTGTTCAGAGCTACAGACACCTGCCAACGAGGGCACCTCTCTCTTCCGTTGCCTAAAGCCAAGGAGTTGTCTGTATTCTAAGCTGAGGCCGAGGAAGAACAGGACACCCCCAGGCACGGCCAGCCTCGTCACTGTCCTGCCTGTGAGCTCCCAGCAAGCTGGCCAAGGACGCCCTGTCCACTCGGGCAGAAGCACAGGGCCCGCAGGCCAGCTGGGCCGCATGGGGCAGCCCTCAGGACACGGAGAGAGGCCACGAGGGTGGCCGAGGGGCCTCACCGTGACCACGCACTCTGGTGGCTAGGCCAGCATAGCACCGCAGGTCAGAGCTGGGAGCGGGGACCCTGCAGTCCCCACACTGGCCACACTGCACACATCACATCTAAGCGTTTACCAGAGTCTTCCTCGGAGGGGGACGCTGCCCGGACGGCAAACTTGGTGTTGTAGCGGGCTTTCTGCTTCTCACTCAGCATGTTCCACTGTGACCCCAGCAGCTCTTCGATCTCCTCCCTGGAGGCATCGGGGTGCTCAGCCATCACCTGGGAGCAGGGGGGGGGGTGTGTGTGTGAGGAGGCCAGGCACCGCACACTCGCTGGGCGGGCTCTGAGTCCCTGAGAACGAGCACACCGTCCTCCCCACTGCCTGCTCTGCAAGGGGACACTCGCTGGTACAACCCTGAAAACAAGGTTGGAGCAGGGCTCACTATGCCCACGCGGGGCGGCAAACGGAGAGAAGACGTGCTTTCCAGAACCGCTAATTACCAGGAAGCACCGTTTCCTAGGTGTGCGGAAAGGTCGGTATGGAAACGTGGCCCTGGAGCAGGGAGAGTGAGGTCTGGGCGCGGCATCCTGCTGGCTGGAGCGCCCATAGCACCTTCAGGGACCTGCTCTGGACAGACAGTGTGAGGGAGGGTGTGGAGGAGCGCCCTCAGCCCGTCCACCCCAGCGCAGGCGGCACTATGTCCCCGCCCGGCCGGCACCCCACCCTGCCAGCCAGACCCCGATTCCCAGGACTCTGGTGCCCTCCACACAGGGGGGCTTGGCCTGGCTGCTCCCTGAGAACCAGGTCTCACAATCCAGAAGGTGCAAGTCCTCCCAAGACCAGTTCAGCCCGGGTCTGGACCAGCTGAAAGGTTCCCCAGTTTCTCGTGGGCACTGAGTTAGAGCCAGCAACAGCAGGGGAGCGAGGTCAACAAACTCTGACCCTCATGCTAAACCAGCTGTGGCTGCAGGCTGTGAACTCAGAATGTGTTTCCCTCTCTCCGACGGTCCAGAAAACCAAGCTGCTTCCTACACAGGATCACTGCAGGGCTCGAGGGCCGGCCCGCTTCCTGGGGCGTCCTCAGACCGCAGCACCGCTGGCAGCCGCCTCAGAGACGCGCTGCCCCAGGCCCTTTCTTTCTTTTTCTTTTTCTAAAATATGTTTTATTGATTTTTTTACAGAGAGAGGGACAGAGAGTCAGAAACATCGATGAGAGTCATCGATCAGCTGCCTCCTGCACACCCCCTACTAGGATGTGCCCGCAACCAAGGTACACGCCCTTGACCGGATTCAAACCTGGGACCTTTCAGTCCACAGGCCAACGCTCTATCCACTGAGCCACACCGGTTTTGACATGTCCAAGGCCCTTTCAACCAGTGCAGAGTTTGAGCAGCGCCAAGGAGCCCGCCTGGCTGGAAGGAGCTGCCCCAGGGGCAGTTCTGTGGATGGGGCAAGTGAAGGGGGTGTCCCCACTCCCGTGACGTGGGGGGGGTGTCATGCTTCGCCTGGCAATGGTCAGGCATCACCGTTAATGCCGACTGCTCACTAGCGCCACAGAGACTTAGCACCACCCACACCTAACACCTGCCAGCCAACACTGGGAACTCTGTCCCCAAATGCAAACCTCAGACAGCACGTCCCCACCCTGTGTGTCCTTCCTGGTCTCCTCCTGCAACCGGAGTGCACCAGATCCTCACGTGTGCTGCGCTCACCCATGGACCTGCAGCCCAAAATGGTCACTTGCCAGACAACGTCCTTGAATAAAAGACACGTAGCAGGGTTCCCCACTGCTTAGCCAGACAAGACTCCCCAACCGCGGCCGCTGCCCTGCTCCTGGTCGGGCCAGGCGGGCCAGCTCCACGTGAGCATCCTCGTGTCCACCCTGCCTCTGCCAGGGGTTCAGCAACCGGTCTCCTGCTCATCCTGTCCACCAGCTGGGGACACACCACAGATCCTACCGCAGCCACGCCGCCCGCGGGCCCTGTTACCTGGCCACACCTGCCTCCCGCCCATCCCTCCCAGCCATCCGCACTCACTACACGACAATGGTCCCACAGGCCCCCTCTGGGGATCCTGTCCACAGCACTCACCTCCATCACTGGCTGAGGAAGCCACACCTCTCACTGGGGTCTACATTCCGCAGCGGGGCGGTGCCACGGTGACCTTTCCGCCCACGCCCACGCCCACGCCCACGCACGGTGAGCTCTACTCCCTACCTGTGCGCCCTGGTGAAGGAGCGGCCTCAGGCAGGTCCCTGGGCTGTGGCTGTGGCTGCAGGACGGAGAGCTCACGCCACCTCCAGGGCGTGAGAATGAGCACCGCCATGCCCCTGCCACGGGCAGCCCGCTAGTGGCCGCTTCTCCCATCTAGTGAAGCACCTCTGGCACACGAAGCACCCCACGGCTGAGGACACCATGACCAGCCAGGATGTGGCAGAGGCGCCACCTCAGACCCCAGCTGTGCTCCCACGGAGCAACCAGAGGAGCAGGGACAGGTCACCGGCCGCAGGGCACAGGCCTCCCTCAGGCCATGCGGCAGTACCTTGGAAGGCCCTCCACCTGGTCAAGCCTGGGGGACACAGTCCCGGCCATGCCCTGACTGACCTCACGGGAAGCCCTGGGGCAGAACCCCAAGAGGGGCCTCACGCTCCTGCCCCGTGGCACCGGTAGACACGCAGGGCGTGCGGTATGTAAGCCTGAGTCTAGAGGTGAGTTGTTACGTGACCAGAGGGAACACACACAAATGCAGACATGAACCAGCGAGGGCACAGCCCCTCTCAGCCTGGGAGCATCCGGAGCAGGAGGTGAAAGGACCCTCCAAGTCCAGGAACTGAGTGAGCGTTCCTGCCGCGACCCTGCGGTTCTCGGGCACGCGCCGGCCCGGCTGTGTGTCCCGCCCGGCTCTCCGTGAGGAGCCCGTCCCCGCGGCCCCTGGGGCCCAGCCCTGCACTGCCCGCCCGCAGCTGGGCTCCAGGACACGCGAGCCCTGAGCCGGCGGTGGCTCCGGCGGTGGGTGCGTCCACACACCGAGAGGTTGCAGGTTTGACTTTCATGACGGAAACAGGAGCTCAGCGGGCACGGAGCTCGGGGGTGCACGGGGTCTGTGATGGGAACCCCCAGCGCAGCAGCCCCTGGGGGAGACATGCCCAGGGCCAAGCTGAGCGCTGGGCCACGTTCTAGCACAGAGCAGCCACGAGAGCCACGGCCCGAGGCCCATCTGCTCGCCACAGGACATGTTCATATCACAGGGTTGCCTGTCAGGTCTGAACTTACACAGGGCTGGGGGCCCTGGAAACGCTGAGAAACAGGTGCTACACACACACGCACACGCCCAGTGAGAACATGCCGACATGGCACCCACCTCGTCCCGGTGCCTCTGGCAGAAGACCAGGAACTGGGACGCAGCGTCGCCCTTCCTTCCGCGCAGCGTGGAGCCCGCGGCCTTCCTCCTCCGGGGCGGAGACCCCAGGCCTCGCTGGGAGCTGGCCTCAGCCGCCTCTGGAGGAGTCACGGTCCCTGCGCCAGGACCACCGTCCTGGCTCTCGGCAGCACCTCCCAGCCTGGCTCTCCGCCTTCTCCTGATAGGGCCGCCCTCTTCGCTCCAGGACCCGGGATCCCCAGCGGCCCCTCCGGGGACTTCTGTGGGCCCCAGCGCAGCCCCGGGCACCTCCACAGCCAGGCCCGCCTCCCGGGCCGCGTGAGGGTTCAAGTGCAGCTGGCCGCCCACATACAGGAAGGTGAACTTGGCTCTCCGCTCCTCGGCCGGCATGGCAGCTGCGGCGGCTGCTTGCAGGAGGCCCGTCTCCCACTGGGCCCTCAACTTCCCTGAAATGGGCTTCAGCAGCTGGAAAGACAACACGAGACACTCTAAGGCTCACTGTAAAACATAAAAACAGCCGCGTTAAAGGGTACTTCCACAATTCCAGATAAGTTTAGAAATAAAAGTTATAAAAACCAATTAACCTGCAAGGTTTGCAGAGTTCAGCCCCATATAACACTGCTTCTTTGCACTAGAAGTAAGTTTCAGTCACACTTTACTAATGTAAATACACGTGTGCACATATTACACATAACCGTACGTACCCATAAAGAAAAACACAAATTACAAGAGAAATGGCCCCTGGGAGTCATCGAGAAAGGATCGTGTGATGTTTGGAACAGAGCGTCCACGGGCAACAGTGAGCAGTGACGGACACAGGAGCCTCACGCTCTTTCGAGCAACTGCAAGTTCACACCAGACCCAGACCACGCGGGCGGCCAGCCTGGGCCTGCCGCCCCGGGGCGTGCCGTCACCTTGATCTTCTCCGCCTTGGTGGGCGCCTGCCTGGCACTCTCCTGGCACAGCTTCTCAAACTGCTCCTCTCCTTCGAACGCCGCCAGACTCTTCTCGAATATCCACGCTCTCTCGGGGGTGTCGCCGAAGAACTGGACGTGATACTGGCGCGCGCTCTTCCTCTGACCTGGGTTTCAGATGAAAGCTTAGGGCCGAGGCGGACATGGGACATTAGAAAGCCAGCCGTTCCTGGCACTGACCCAGAGCGGGGGTTGCCTGCAGGACCCCTCGCTCCCCCACTCCGCCAGGGAGGTCCCAGAGGCCGGCTAAGAGAGCTGACTGTAGCACCTCCCCTCCTCCCTCCAGCCCACTTTAGAAGATCCCAACGAGCCGGAACCGGTGTGGCTCAGTGGTAGAGCGTCGGTCTGCGGACTGAAAGGTCCGGGTTCGGTTCTGGCCAAGGGCATGTGCCTTGGTTGCGGGCACATCCCCAATAGGGGGTGTGTAAGAGGCAGCTGATCGATGATTCTCTCTCATCAATGTTTCTAACTCTTTATTCCTCTCTCTTCCTCTCTGTAAAAAATCAATAAAATATATTTTTTTTAAAAGCAAAAATAAAAAGTAAATAAAAGGTACCTACCGAACAAAGAGAGCCCATCCCCAAAGCGTCCTTTGACAGAGGGGACCAGACAGCAGGGAAGGGGAGCAGCTGGTGTCAGACGGCCTGGGCGCAAGGCCCAGCCCACCACCTCCTACCAGCTGGCAGCCTTGCTGGCCACTCAGTCCAGAGCGCAGAGTGGGGAGAGGGCAGCCAGGAGGCCAGGAGGCCAGGAGGCCAGAGACCCCACAACACCACAGTCCATAATGAGCCACACCCTACAGCGCAGCCAGAGGGACTGGGTGAGGAAGAGGCACCTGGTCCCAAAGCCCAGAGAGGGAATGCCAGGCACGTGCCCTGGCTGGGAACTGAACTGTGGACTCCTGGGCCATAAATGGACCTCAGCCCCTGGGCAGAGCAGCCAGGCTGTGTGCTTTTTCATGTTAAATCAGCAAAGACTCAAAAACATGCCAGGTGCCACGAGTCTTCTTCCATCACATCTGGTTTTGTTTTGTGATGAGAGACACATCGACGGCTGCCTCCCACATGGGATGTACCTTGGTTGCGGGCATATCCCCAGTAGGGGGTGTGCAAGAGGCAGCTGATCGATGACTCTCTCATCGATGTTTCTATCTCTCTCTCTCCCTTCCTCTCTGTACAAAATCAATAAAATATATATATATTAAATACTCACTGAAGATATGTTTTTATTGATTTGAGAGAGAGGAAGACTGATTGAGAAACATCAATCAGTTGCCTCCCCTACACACCCTGACCAGGGATTGAACCCACAACCTTTTGGCGTACGGACAACGTTCCAACCAACCGAGCCACCTGGCCAGGGCTCTTCCATCACCCTTCAGTATTTGGAAGAACTTTCCTTGGTCATGAAAATGAATATAGGTGCATGTCAGAGCACTGGCATAATGGAGAAAATATGTTACCATGTGTATGAGGAAATATGAACTTACATCACTTTTAACCAACAGTTCCGGACACAGAATATGCTCCTTACATCAGGTAGGAAAAGCAAAAATAATTCTGTATGGATCTTAAGTTCGTAAAATAAATGTAACATTTGTTAAGTTCTTGTCTGCCTAGAAATTTGGTAACCATGTAACCCAATTGTCTCCTATTTACACTGGCCTCTGTAGTCCACATGAAACCTATTCTGGTCCAACGTGCGAGGTCAGATCATTGTCTCGTTTCCCCACATGAGTCACCAGCTGTCCTATCACTGCTAAGGAGTCGTCCTCCTTTTGGTGCCCATTTCCGAAATTCACCCATCATGGCTGTTGGTGACCACCTCTCCTTGACTCCCCAGCCCACACGCTCCTAAGAGAACTGGCCCGGTACCGCTGGCACGGGAGCCTTCCTCCATCACGCCCCCTGGCCCTCTGGGCTAGCCCGAGCCTGTCTTTCTCCAGAGCGGGGAGCCCCGAGAGGACAGCCACCCCGTGTGCACCAGGGGCCCGAGCTGCCGTGGAGCTGAGCGGGGGAGGAAAGGAAGCCACCAGACGTGGACAGCCAGGTGCCTACAGAAGCAAGGACGGCGCCCAGGACGTGCAGCCAGACTGGCGTGGAGAGCAGGGTGAGCAGCCACACCTGGGTGAGGGGCCAGGCTCCGAGGCGCCAGCCCGGGCAGGTAAAGCAAACTGACAGAACTGCACGTCAAAAAGAGCACCCGTCACAGTGAGCGTGCACACACGTTTCTTCGTAGCTGATGCAACAGCACAGACAAGTCAGCACGGAACCGAGTACCCAACAACCCAAGGCTGCAGGCCAGGCTACCGGTCATGTTTCCTTAAAATGTTGAATTCAGGAATATGACTAAGAAGGTTTCATTCCATAAAATAGAAACATAAAAAGTGGTGACAAAAACCTCCACGGAAAATTACTTGATTCCAGACACGTTTTCTAAGGAGAAGACGATGAGGACACGGCAGTGGCAGGGGTCGTGACCCCCGGATGCACAGGACCCACTGGCCGCAGTGTCCAGCCTAAAGCACACTCTGCTCTGCTGTTTCCAACGCAAAAGTGCAGTCCAGCAGATGCCCGCCCGGAGGCCACGGCGGGGACAAGGCCTGTGCTCTACAGCAGACACGCTAGAGACTGCCACTGACTGTCCTCAAAGGAAATGCACTCATGGTCAATAAGCACGTGAAAAAACGTTCAACATCACTGACCACTAGGAAAATGCAAATCAAAACCACAGAAAGCAGCCCTGGCTGGCTTGGCTCAGTGGAGCGCGCGCTGGCCTGCAGACTAAAGGTCCCAGGTTCGATTCTGGTCAAAGGCTCATACTTTGGTTGCAGGCTCCTCGCCAGCCTGGGCCCTGGTCGGGGCTTGTGTAGGAGGCAAGAAACCGATGTGTTTCTCTCACATCGATGTTCTCTCTCCTCTCTCTTTCACTCTCTCTAAAATCAATGGGAAAATATACTCGAGTGAGGATTTTTAAAAAACTAACTAGCCCTAACCGGTTTGGCTCAGTGGATAGAGCGTCAGCCTGCGGACTGAAAGGTCCCGGGTTTGATTTCGGTCAAGGGCATGTACCTTGGTTGCGGGCACATTCCCAGTGGGGGGTGTGCAGGAGGCAGCTGATCGATGTTTCTCTCCCATCGATGTTTCTAGCTCTCTATCTCTTTCCCTTCCTCTCTGTAAAAAATCAATAAAATTTAAAAAACAAAAACAAAACAAAGCTATGTAATTCCAAAATAAAATTACTAAAAACAAGAAACAAAAGCCATAGAAAGCAGAGCAGAGGCTGGTGCCTGGGGCTGGGCAGGAGTATTTCCCGGGCAGTGGGGCCAGCTGCCCGGCACGGATGTGCCTGATACCATGCACTGTGCACGGGACAGCAGGGAGGATGGCACAGTCACGTCACGTGCCTGCACACACGAAGAACCACAGGAGGGCTCGTCTGGAAGAGGGAGAAAGATCCCCGTCAGGAGCAGGGACCCGCGAGGCGCACCTTTGAGCTTGGTGTAGCTGTGCAGGAGTGGGTCGGCGGACACCATGCAGGGCCACCAGGGGTAGCCGGACACCTTGGCCCACACCAAGTCGCCCACGCTGAATCTCAGCAGGTGGTCTCTGTCTCTGCCCGTGCTGGGGCAGGGCTCTTTCTTAGCTGGAATCTGAAAATGAACAAAAGACATCTACCCTCAATCCAGACTTCCAGCCACAAAACACTGAGGGCTAACCAGCTGGAGGCTCCACCCCCTGTCAACGCCCCCAACACTGTCTGCAAGTCACAGCCCTGGCATCACCTTCGGAATCGTGCCCCTCCTGCCCTCAGCTAAGGGGCTGCCCGCACTGTGCGGCACCGAGGGCGGCCTCTCTCCTTCCCGCCCGAGCGGTGCTTATCTCAGGCAACCATTCTTGGCACACGGGGCAGGATCCAGGCAGCCTGTCCCTCCACCTCCGCCCCAGCACCCTCAGTCTGGCCTCCAGGGGACCAGCAGCCGGCGGCCTGGCCTCCTGAGTGTGAGCTCCCGAGCCCCCGAGGCCACGGCCTTGGGCAGAGGTGCGGGTGCTGAGGGCTGGCACAGGGCTACCACGTCACCCACTCTCAGGAAGGGGGCTCTCAGACTAGTCCTCCGCATCCGGTCTATGACGGCCCGTGAGGATAAGTGTCAGCGTCCCCCTCCAAAGACGGAGGTCAGCATCAGGGGGTCACTCGTCTTAACAAAACCCAGTGACGGGCTGGGAATCACTTGCACCCGCCTCTTCCTATGAGTCACCAACTAGGGCGCCGCCAACACCAGACACCAGCCAGGCTCTTAGAATCCCATTATGATCGCATCAGTGAGACCCAGACAGCCCCTGAGCATCCAAAACATGTTTCAGCCCTCCAACTTTGTAATTATTTTAATAATCCCAAGGGACTTGGCCACTTCCTCTCCTATCTGTGGAAACTGTACACAGAATTCCTTGACTATGATTTTAAAGTAAATATTCCTGGTCTCCCTCCCCTCCCTCACACCTGCAAGAGGACCTCGTCAAGACTACCAGCTCCTATGACGGGTGGGGGGCTGCGGCACCCTCTGCGTTCCTCTGGCCTCAGCGAGGCTCCTGGCTGTTTTGTGGGGCTTACACTACATAAGGGGGGGGCTACCTCAGGGTCCCGTCCGGACGTGCTATCAAGTACTGCACCCTCTCGTGGTATGTCAGGGCTCTGCACCCCGGCCTCTGCGCTGAGACACAGCCAGGCCCCCTGGTGGAGGAGCCGGGTGAGGGGAGGGAACCGCTGGGTGGGTGGCGGGCACACCTCTGCAGCACAGCTCACGCCTCCGACGCCTCCGACGCCTCCGAGGGGACCAACGACCAGAGCCAGGCCCAGAGGCCTCTGCAGAGGCCCAGGCAACGGAACAGCCGGAGGCCTGGGACGGACTCCTGGCTCGGAAACTGGTCTGCCCTCCTTGGCCGCTTTTACCCAGAATCCTCAGCTGAGCTCCAGGCCTCGCACCGGCTCAGCAGGGCTGTGCGGCCTGCCGGAGGCAGTGCTGGGGCGCTGGGAGCCGGGGCCTGCACCTCCACCCCAGCCCTCCCGCTGCCCTGACCCCGGCCGTGAATACCTTCCTGTCGGAGGGACTGGCGACCTCGGCCCCCTCAGCGGCTTCGACGAGGTCCTGCCCCAGCACCGAGTCGTACTTGATGCTCCTCTTCCTGCTCCGCCTCGCCTTGCCCTCCGGCTCCTGTCCATCTCCTTCCGCCTGGGCCCCGGCCGCAGCGCCGTCTCCACAGATGGAAGACTCGAAGAGCGGCTTCCCGTTCATGTAGGTCTTGGTGATTTTCAGTTTGATCTCCGGAGAGCCGTTTTTGACGGGGGTGGTGTGCGGCGGGGTCTCGGCCCCCTTCGTCTCCTGGGCCTCAAAGCGCAGCTTGGCGTCGTGGGCGCCGGGCTCGCCGTTGAACACGCGGGACGTCAGGTCTTTCAGCTTCTCCGCCGGGAGGAAGGGCAGTGGGTCGTGGCCGTTGAACTTCGGCATGACGCCTTCCTGCAGGGAGGCCTTGCCCAGGAACACGGAGCACTCACGGCCCACCTCGCAGCCCGCTGGCTTCCCGGCCGAGCTGCCGAGGATTTCCGGCGCCTGCTTCATCCTTAGGTACTTGACCACTTTCTGAGCGGAAAAAGCACCTTTTTTGATGCTAAATTCCATTCAGTCCAGAGCTTCCGTTCTCGGAATACTAAACTGTGGGGAAACAGAAAGGAAAGAAGACATCTTACATTTAGAACCTAAGATGACGATGCCCCCACCTCTACAGCCTGTGCACTCGTTTTGGTGTGTTTTAGCCAGTTTGTGATGGATTGTATAACGACTTACGTTACAGGAGGCAGTTCTAGCATCACAAAAATAAAAAAATGATAAAACTAAAAGGAAAAAGAGTAGCTTGAAGGAAGATAACGCAGTCAGGCGAGGAGACTCAAGCCGGGCCCCGCCTCTCACAAGCAGTGTGGCCATGGCTTCTCCCCCCAGAAGGGACACCACCTGCCCAGGGCAGGGGCCCCGGCAGCCGACAGAGCCAGGCCTGTCAGCGGCAGAGCTTCAGTGACGCGCACGGGGCACTTGGGTCAGTCAAGTTTAGAACCAGACTCTCCCCACCTGGCACACGGTTAGTGCCAGACTGATGAGGAAACGCCGTGATTCAGAAAGTGAGCCTGAGTGGTCAGTCCTGGTGTCGGCCTGGCCGACACTCCCCCTCCCCACCAGCCCTGCCCAGGCCCAGACCAAAGGCCATGACTGAGTGGCCAAGGGTTCCGCCCGAGCGTGAACATCCAGGGGCAACCACCGAGCCCTCGCGTGCATCCCAGCACAGAGACCCCTCTGGCCGCGGCCGCAGGCAGGTCTTCACCGCACAGCACCCCGCCCAGGGAGGCCTCCACCGGGAGTGCCCTAGGACGGCCACCGTGAGGCCCCTGGCGCCGAGAGCGGCGAGGGAGGTCAGGAGGGAGCGGCGAGGGAGGCCAGGAGGCTGGGTCCTCGGCGCCTTTGGGCTGTCGCCCCTTGGGCTGCTCATGACACACAGCAGGGTCAGGACGTGCTGAACGGCCGGCAGCCACGGCAGCCCTTCCAACAAAGGACGTCTGGCCGGAAATGGCCGCCGTGTGGAGGGGAGGCCCGTGGGCAGCAGCGAGCAGGGTGTGCAGCCTGCAGTTTCCACAGCAACGACGGTGGACGTGGACAGCTGAGGCGCAGCCCCAGTCGGGGCGCTCCACGTGCAGACACCTTTCGCACAGGACACAGGAGGCGCTGCTGGACTCCCACCGCCCTTGTCAGAGGTAAGCAGAGCAGGCTCCCCTTCCAGCCCATATCAGACTCCCCGGACAAGCATGAAACTAACTCCCCGAAGCACGCGAGAGGGCTAAGTGAGCCGGGAAGATGAACAGGCTCGGCTCCAGGAAGACAGGAGCAGTGCTGGGCGAATGCCTGGCCCTTAGTTTTGTGCCGAAGGGACGTTTGAGTCCACTTCAATGGCTGTAGGAGAAACAGAACAGCCCACAGGAAAGAGCTGCGTGCGTGCGTGCGTGCGTGCGTGTGAGAGAGAGAGAGAGAGAGAGAGAGGAGGGAGAGAGAGAGAGAGAGAGAGAGAGAGAGAGAGAGAGGGAGAAGGAGGGAGGGGAGGGGAGGGGGAGCATGGGAATGGAGCCCAAAAAAGACACAATTTGATTAAAAGATGGGCAGAGCCCTGGCTGGTTTGGTTCAGTGGTTGGAGCAGCAGCTCAGTTCCATTCCCAGTCAGGGGCATGCACCTCGGTTGCGGGTTTCCCGGCCCCAGTAGTTTCCCGGCTCACATGCGGGAGGCAGACAATCGATGCGTCTCTCTCACATCAATGTTTATATCTCTCTCTACCCCCTGCCCTCCCTCCCTTTCATCTCTCTCTTCTTTCCCTTCAACTCTCACTAGAGATCAATGGGAAGAATATCCTCAGGTAAGGATAGAGGACAGAGGACATACAGGCGGCCAGCATACACTGAAATGAAGCTCAGCATCTCTAGTCATCGGAGAAATGCCAATTAAAAGCACAACGAGGTATCGCCTCATGCCTGTCAGAATGTCAACCACCAATAACCAACCAACGAGAAACAAGTGCTGGCAAGGGTGTGAGAAAGGGAACGCTCGTGCACTGCCGGTGGGAGTGCAGACGGCTGCAGCCACTGTGGAAAGCAGGGTGGCGGTTCCTCAAGAAATGGAACCCAGTGACCCCACTTCTGGATATTTATCCCAAGAAATCCAAAACACTAATTATAAGACTACATGCACCCCTGTGTTCACTGCAGTGTTACTAACAACAGCCAAGCCTTGGGAGCCACCTGTGTCCATCGATTGGTGAGTGGATGAAGAAGGTGTGGCACAAGGCCCTGGCCAAGCAGCTCAGTCAGTGAGAGCACAGTCCCGATATGCCAAGGTTGCAGGTTCAATCCCCATCAGGGCACATACAAGAATCAACCAATGAATGCATAGATAAGTAGAATAAGTAGATCTCCCCTCCTCTCTCTCAAATAAATCAATAATTTTTTTTAATACTATGTCATCCTAGGCAATGCAATAAGACAAGAAAAGGAAGTGAAAGGTATAAAAAATGAAAGGAAGAAATAAATCTTACTTGTTTTTTTGTTTTGTTTTTTATATATATATTTTATTGATTTTTTACAGAGAGGAAGGGAGAGCAATAGAGAGCCAGAAACATCGATGAGAGAGAATCATCGATCAACTGCCTCCTGCACACCCCCCACCGGGGATGTGCCCGCAACCAAGGTACATGCCCCTTACTGGAATTGAACCTGGGACCCTTCAGTCCACAGGCTGACGCTCTATCCACTGAGCCACACCGGCCTTGGCATAAATCTTACTTGTTGTCAATCTTCACATGAGGGTATTTTTCCATTGACTTGTAGGGAGTGGAGGGAGAGAGAAGGGGAGGGGCAAGGAAACATCAATGTGAGACACACGCATCGCTGGTTCCCCCACGTGTCCCAACCAGGGTCAGGGATCGAACCTGCAATTGACCAGGAATCGAACCCATGACGCTTCAGTTCATGAGCCGAGGACACTCCAACCACTGAGACACAATGGTTAGGACAAAACAAAACTACCTTTGTTCACAGATGACATGATCACTCACATATACAGAAAACCAGAAAGAATAAAAGTGGTTAAGCATCGACCTATGAACGAGGTCAGTTTGATATTTGATTCTGTCAGGGCACATACCTGGGTTGCAGGCCCGTTCCCCAGTGTGTGGGGGGTGTGGGAGGCAGCCGATTCATGATTCTATCTCACACTGATGCTTTTATCTCTCTTCCCCTTTCCCTTCCTCTCTGAAATCAATACAAAAGTGTGTGTGTGTGTGTGTATATATATATATATATTTTTTTTTTAAATGTAAAAATATATTTTTATATTTGACTCAGGGATTAGGGTGTTGGCACAGTCAGGGGCACATGCCTCCTGCCTCAGTTGCAGGCTCGATCCCCAGGTTGGGGTGAGTGGCGGGCGGGCGGGTGGGCGGGCGGGCATGTGTGTGTGTGTGTGTGTGTGTGTGAGAACCAATCAATGTGTCTCTCTCACATGGATGTTTCCCTCCCTCTTCCCCCTCCCTTCTAGCTCTCTAAAAATCAATGGAAAAAAAATACCTTCAGGTGAGGATTAACAACAACAACAAAGGAAAATAGGAACTGCTTAGACCCAACCATTTCACTTCTGGATATTTAGCCAAAGAAACCTAAAACACTAATTTAAAAAAAAGTATATGTAGTCCTAGCCAGAGTTTGATTCCAGCCAAGGACACATGACCTGGTTACCAGCTCGATGCCCAGTGTGAGGTGTGCAGGAGTCAGCCAATCAATGATTCTCTCTCATCATTGATGTTCCTATCTCTCTCTCCCTCTCCCTTCCTCTTTGACATCAATTAAAAACATATATATACTAGAAGCCCAGTGCGTGAGATCACGCAGCCCCCCACCCCCCGCGCTGGTCTTGGTATTGCGATGTCAGGGTCATTACAGTGTCAGGGCCAGGGTGTGCGTATACACACGTACACACACACACACACACACACACATCTCCCTGGCCAGATAGCTCAGTTGGTTAAAGCATTATCCCAAGGTTCTGGGTTCAATCCCCAGTCAGGACACATATGAGAATCAACTAATGAATGCATATATAAGTGGAGCAACAAGCTAATGTTCCTTTCTCCCCCTCCACCTTCCTCTCTCTAAAAAAAAGTCAATTTAAAAAAGACATACGCACCCTATGTTCACTGCAACATTATTTACAATAACCAAGACATGGAAACAGCCTAGAAATCCTTCAACGGATGACTGGATGAAAAAGCTGGGGTACGCATATATTGCACTCAGCAATAAAAATTAAAAATAAAAAAAATGAAATTCCGCCATCTGCAAAAACATGAATGGCCCTAAAGGGTACTATGCTAAGTGAAATAAGTCAGACACAGAAAGAAAAATACCATGATTCCACTTACAAGTGGAATCTAAAAAAACAAGAACTGTGAATAAACACAACAAAACAGACCCTTAGATACAGAGACCAAGCAAATGGTTGGCAAAGGGGAGGGGTGGAGAGATGGGGCAAAGAAAGAAAGAAAAACACCTTAGAGCCTCACTGACACCTCCCCCATCTCTCATTTCCCAAACCACTGGCTTCCAGTGAGCTCCACGCCCTCCGGCCCAAGCCCGTCCATTCCTCTCCACCCCTCACTGGCCCACCACCTTCCTCCAGGCTCACACCAGTCCCCACCTGGTTCTCAGCCAGCCCCGGCAGCAGCCGCCCAGGGCGGAGGCACCGGAGCCAGGTGAAGGCTCGCCAGCAGCCTGCCCAGCCCACCGGAGCCACGGCTTCGCCGCTGAGGCGGCCTGCGGGTCTGCTCTCCCACCGGCTCCCGCGGCCCAGACTCGGAGAGCCACTGCACTAGGTGACGGTGGCCAGCGCCAAAGCAGTCACGTGTTCCTTGGCTCAACCCAAGGGCTCCACCTTGCTAGAGTCCTGTGTGCTTCCACGGGAGACAGAAAAGGAGTGTGACAAAGTCCGTGTCTCTTCCAGCCTCCGGTCGGGCGCCACAGTCATCCCTTCTCACTGTCCCAAGCAAATCACATGGCCACACCAAACATCAAAGCAGGGACCAGGGAGAGACTCC